GGTGCGTAAAGCAGCTTATCGGTGGTTTTGCATGTTTTAGCCGGTTAAGTACAAATAATGTATGTGTTGCATTACAGCCAAAGCGTATCAGTTTTTCAGGGCATGACACAGACTGAGTGGTTTCCCAACTCCCACACAGTCATCACATACAGCTCAGCCTGGAGAGAGATCTACTTGTGAAGACTATACCTTGCGACTAATCCACCATAATTTACATTGAGCTGCTTGTGTTGTCGTCACAGGGTTTCACTTTTGTCTGTAATGAATCTTCGTGCACCGAGGGGCAGTTTTTAGTTGCTTTAAGGCTCTGCAAACTCTTGTTTTAGTAAGTTTTGCACCACCATGCAAAAGTGATGCAACGCAGTAAAAAGTATGAATGAATGCATGTTGAGTCAAACTCTCAAACATGTTGCAAGTCTTGGGAAATTGGTTTTCTTGCTCTTCTCACAAGGACTGGAAACAGTGATGGCTTATGGGACGAAAATATGCAACACCATTAGAGTTTATGGGCTTCAAGTACAGTGATAAGTGTTATAATTATTTCTCCTTTGATTACTTTAAGTTATGTGCAATCTATAAGATGCCACCAAGCAGAAAAAAGCCTCCTCCCGTAATTGTGAATATCAAGCAGGAGCCATTACAGAGCGTCACTGCGCCACACATATTCTGTGGACATCTCGTCTTTTCCATCTCAGCTCTGTTCTGACAGATCATCCCCAGTGTCCACTCTATGGCTGAGTGGTTTGGAGATAAAGAAGAAAAAAAAGAAAAGAGTTTGGAAGCGAGGCTTGGAGATGGATAGAGAAGCTGAGACTGAGATTGAGTGACATGTGTGCTTGCGTCGCTTCGTGTGCCCAGATATACATTTTCACGCACATGTAGTTTCCATATAAGCCATAGAAAAGACTCGCACAACCAGGAAATCACAAACAGCGCTCGGACTGTCCAAATAAAGATATGAGGTGTCGGACATGTTGAGACATGTTTGTAAATGGCGTGAACATGGTTGTGTCTTTTTGCAGCAGAGAACCAAATGACATCTTCGAATCTGAAAGCCGCTCTGTTATTTTGTAATCAGCCAAACGTGAACCAAACCCACGTTAGCTTAAACGCTACCTCCACTGTGTTTGTGAATGGTGGATCTGTCACAGTAAACACTTTGCCTGATGCATCAGCCAGGCTCCCTGCAATGTGTTATTTTAGGTGCAAAAAAAAAAAAAAAAAATTCAAATTCACCAGAGAACTTCTGCACTGTTCCTGCCAACGCTGACGCATCCCTGGCTCACTATTGTAGACTCAGACATGCTGGTGTATACCAAGTACTTTTGGCAGACTGGTGAAATCTGTACTTTGAAGTCATTTGTCTTGAATTAAGTGATTTTCTGTCGGAGCTCTGTGCAGGCTGCTGGACAGCTGATTCACACGGACAAAACCCTGGACCGAGCAGAGGTTGTACATGGTCTGAGTGCAAAAACCCACCCCACATGCCAATTACTTCAGGGGCTGAGCTTTCAGTTGAAACCTCAGGATGAATGTGAGCTGTGGGAAATCCTGATGATGATGATGATGATGATATAAAGCATTTACCAGCATGGATGTCAGTCTGACACACACAGACATGCTTCCTCATGTATTAAACAAAACAAGTCTCCTCTGGAATGCAGGGTGACTCATTTCAGATCTCGAAAAACATAAATCCAGTCGTCACATGTCTCATAAATGCTAAGAAGATTGGTTCTGGGAAGCAGGTTGAGAAGACAGGCCTCCCTCTCCATACTTTTATGGCTATAAGTACTCATCACCCTGGTGTGTTTCATCTCCACTCTTGGAACAGCAAAAAATCGATCCGATGGCGGCAGGAAAAACATGTTGTTTTTCTCTGGCCCCAAGGCACGTGCACAAACACACACACGCTCTAAACAGATGGTTTTCCACAAGACACACTAAACAAATACCAGTGAAAACACAAGCTGTGAGCATTTGTCTGATTTTAAGGGGTTTTAAAAGGTTAAGATAGTCCTGATGTGTAAACACAGTCTGAAAAAAACATGAAATAAAGAGCAAGCTATTTCTAAATCATGACAAAACGATGTGGAAAGCTTCTCTTAGTGTAGTGCTTTCTCAAGTGGGGTCTAGGGACCTCCAGGGGTCCCTGAGGGGCGTACAGTGGTCACAGCAAAGTAAGGAACAGTTTAATTTCTCTATTGTTTCACTCCCTTGATAAAAGCACAAAGGGAGCATGTATTACTGTAATCTATTCTCATTAGAGGCTTTATTCTCTGCTCTGTTGTCACACATCCTGTGCAGACAGTTATGAAGCTGTATGGCCAATTAAAGCTCTGAAAGAGAAGAAACAGCTCCTTGGGACAAAGGATCATCGAATAAGAGTCTGTGGTCTGATGTGTTTCTATCCTGGGGATCTTGATATTAAAAGTTCGAGGGGCTCTCCCCTTTTTTTTATGAGGTGCTAAAGGTCCTGACTGCTCATATAGTGTGTAGCCAGCGGAGGATAACCTTGTGAACCGCGGTTTGATCCATCACATCTAGATGTAGTGACACAGCCAAATAATAATGCCCCGGCAGAGTGCATTGCTGGGAGAGATAGCCTTGTGACCCGGGTACAACTCATAAACTGCAGTGCGGCATCAGCTGTATTAATATCACATATAGTCGTCCCCACGCTTCCCTCACACGGATGAATATTTCAGCCAGTGCGTGTGGTGCAAATGAAAGATGCGCTTCAAATGGCGCAGAGAGCCTGTGAGAACCCAGCGTGGTGCATTATGAAATGTATCATAATTAAGCATCCATTTCATAACCGTAAAAAAAAAGTACCTGCGCAAGATTCATGCACATCACGAGGACGCGGAATCCGCCTTAAAGGAAGCACTGCGCTGGGAAAAGAGATATGGCAACACCGCGTGATGAATTCGGGTTGTAAAGTTGACTCTTACTCACCCCTTCTGAACATTTTGCAGGCCTAGGTGTATTTCGTCTTCGGTCCTCTGAGAATCATCTATTCCAATATTCCAGACTGAGAAAACTTGTGCGCTTTAGTTTTGAAGTTGATCCGGAGCCTCCGTGCCTCGACGCGTGAATGTCAGCCGTCACTCCTTTGGATTTTTCTTGAGATCCACCTTATCGAGTCGCACCGCAGACCACCTTGAATCAGAGAAACACTGACAAGAAACAATAATCTCCTCAAAAGTCCAGCAGGAATTTGACGGATCTGCGATTTAGGGAGCGATCATTGCGAAACAGGCGCACCAAAATCATCCACTCTGTCCGGAATAATGGCAACTCCAGCGTGTACGTGTGTGCGTGTGCGCACAGTTTGTCCAACACAACCTCTGAGAACCAACTCCTTTCAGGCGCAAATGACTGTAGAGGCTGCAAATCAGCTCTGGGGGCAAACCGATAGTGAGCGCGAACACTCCCCAAAAAACCCCCAAAATTCAAGTGACCAATCTGAAATTCTCCTCTCGGTGATTCAGAGCCGTCCAAATCGCATCATACTCGTTAAAATCTCTAATTAACATAAGTTATTTGGATTCACATTCCGCCTCTGATGTCGGATTATAAACGCAGGCTCCTCAAATCCTCCTTAATAATGTAGACTTTGAAGCTTTCGGTTTCCTTAAAATCCCCTCTTTTCAGCTCTCCTCTCTCCTCTCGTAATTGTTACATTTCTATGATCTTGTCTGGGAAGATCTCTCAGCTTTTTCCACCTATGGATCACAGCTCGGTGATGCGCTCAAGGAGGGAGAAAGTATGTTGTAGTGCCTCAGCCCCTCCAACGGGCAGCATCCTGCTCCATCCTTCTCTCTGCCAGAGTCCCTGTCTGCGCCAGCCTCACACACACACACACACACAAACTCAAACACACAGCTCACTGACACCAGAGGTCTTCATAGGAAACACAACATGACACCGAGGGACACACTGACATGAAACAACAGTATATCAACTGGCATCAGTAGAGATGCTGCTCATTCTGCAGAGAAACAGAAGAGAAACAAAGATCCTCTGATTAACAGCATCCACCCAAATCAATATCTGATAGATAATCATTCATCAGAATATCTCTCTTTCTCTCTCTCTCTCTCTCTCTCTCTTAATACAAATCCCAAAATTCAAAATAAGTGCAGAACTTAAGAGATGTTAACCAGAAGTTGTAAACAGCTTTCAAGACATACAACACAGTAAGGATTGTGAAATAGGACCTGCAACTATAAGTGAATATTGTGCAAAGCATGTTTGTTTTGCTGTGTACGAATGTATGTTGCAATGTATGTAGAGTCGACATATAAACAGATATTATCAGTGCAGATGGTCAGTGTAAATAACAGCTGTGTTTATCAGTCTTGTTCAGGATTGTTTAAGCTCTTTGATGCTTTTTTCCTGTCATAGCCGCTCACAGCTGCTGTGTTTGCACACTGCTGAAGCGTCTCACAATGAGCTTGTAATGCTCTCCAGAAGAATTACAGAAAGCATTTTTAAATAGGAATTTATTTATCACTTGTAATCATTTATTTTTTCACTATTTCATTTGACAACACAGTTTACATGCTATTTTTATTAAATAATTCATCCACAAGAATAAGGAAAGCTTTATATATATGCATATGTATGTATATATATATATATATTTTTTTTTCTGTCAAAGTTATGAAAGAAAAAACCTCGATGAAGTCATTCATTTGAGTCTGCATTTGTTGTTTTTGTTTTTATTCATCCTAATTTGACATCTGTTTTGATTGTGTTTCATTTTTTATGTTATGCTGTTTGATCATGATGATGCCATGTGAATAATTTACATTGCATATTGATGAATAAACTCGCGTATATCTATATTTATTTTATTTAATTTGATTTAATTTATTCTTTATTTCATTCCTTTAAAAATAAAAAGAAACAATTTAATATAAATACAAACGTCCTCCTGGTCCCGTTTAGTCACATCGGTTGCATCTGCGTTCGACTTATCTCCTCTGGACTCTACATTCGATTGCTTTTGCTTCCTCTGTAGCTGTGTAGCCCGTGCTCCACATGTGCGGTGTTTGGGAGGGAAAAACATGGCTGCGCCCGTGAGTAATGGGCAGATCGTCCCTGCTAAGAAGCCAACAGGTAAATATTTGACTGAAAATAGAGACATTTGACGCCATAGTGGTTTGTAACATATCTTATTTCTGTGAGGACTTGATAGAGAAGGCTGTCTTCGCCGTCTGTTAGACTGAGCTCCATCGGCAGGACGCTGTTTCACTAATACGCAGCAGTTTTGTTTTGATAATCGATATCATGAGTGAGGAAGTGGCGTTGAGCAGCAGTGTTAAACTGTTTTCAATGTTGGAAATCAAGGAATTAAACCCCCCAGAGACAAAAAGATGTAAACCACTTTATCTAAACTGTTAAGTTAGTCATTTCCTCGCTGAAATGACCGGATCTGAACTGGTCTGACAGCCGATAATGGTCTTTACATTCAGTATTTAAAGAGGGCTCACAACAGATCCACAATACAGAGGGGTATATGGATTTTAGTCACTCACTTTTTACATCATTTAAAGCAGGAGTGCTGTTTGTGTTATCCAAATTTGTTCAACTATGTCCAAATCTTGGACTATGACTCGTAATGTAGCTCAGATCAGATGTTTAAGGCTTATATTAAAAAGTATCAAAGCCTCCAGAACACTGAACCACGAGGGCAGAGTTTAAACTGGAGTCAGAGCCCGACATAGCCTAACCATAGACAGAGGAAGAGTAGGGGAGAGTGGGGTAAGATGAGTCGTTTTTCAAATTTCAGATCACTGCATCAAGACAGTCATAGTTTTGTCTCTAACTAGTGTATCTGCATATATTTCAAGATGTTGTTCATCCCTGCAAATCAACAGAATGAGTGTAAACATAACTGCCTTGATAATATAGCATGACAAAAAAGTGGTCTCCTATGGTCAACTTACCCCGAGTATGGGGTAAGTTAAGCCGTGTCCCTACTACCCCCTCAGCCCTCCCTCACCTTCTCTCTCCCTAAATAACAGTCACTTCTTCACATTCATGTGTATTTTTATCTATTATACGCTATTCAACTGGTACAGTCATTCTTTTTATTATTATTGCGTATAACTGCTAAAAAGCTGTTTTGTAAAAAAAAAACATTTTAACATGAGAATACCTTTAAGTGATTGAGAACATTCACAGCTGTATTTCTGAGAAGAAAAAGTAAAACATTTCAACAATCTGAACTGAAACTCTGATCCTCTCATCCTCTCATCAGACTCCTTTACTTTCTCAGTTACTCCTGAACTTCTATGATTACTTTATTAGTCCTCTAAGCTAAAATGGTGGACTATTATGTGAGGTTTTTGACCTCATGTTGTAGCTCATAGATACCACAATTGTATTCAGTCTTATTGTATAAAACAAATTAATAATGATCTTTTTTGGTCTGAACACAATTCTAACGAAAATTTTGACGGACTAAATTCACTTTCAAGAGTGAAAAACGTTTTTTTTTGTTGTTGTTGTAAATAAATGTCTAACCCCTTCATCCATGTGCTTCTAACCTTAAAAAAACTCCATGAATTGATGCCCATCTCCTAAATATTTAGTCACATGATCAATTTTTTTACCATTTCCGAGAAACAGGGGGTGGCTCAACTCACCCTTTGGCTCAACTTACCCCACTCTCCTCTATGCCTGTCAGTAAATAAGCTAATAACTGTGAATTTTGCTGTGGGAGATAAACAAGCGAGAGTGTCAAGTATGTGTCAGTAAATGGAATTTAAAAATTGTGCCAGAAAAAGCTTGTTTTGCTTCAAAACTCTGATGCCGCTTGAAAACAAGTTAAGCTCAAACCCTGATTATGTGCCTTGTAACCCCTGACCACATTAGTCTCAGTCTTATTTTCCCATTTCAGCTGGAATTCAGAACCACTTAGTGGCCTGTGGGAAATGGTTTCAATAAGTTGCAACATAAAAAAAGAAAGTTCTCCACTTCCACAACTTTCTGCCGTCTACAAGGTGATTTATTCTTGCAAGAGTGGGGCGTACCCACCCGGTTTTAACAAAGGAAATGACTTAGCAAGTTAAGCCCCGGTCTGCCCTCAGACTTTTGAACGTGTCTGAAGCCTTTTTGTAAAATCGTGATTTTTAGCTTCCTGTGCTGCAGAGGGAGTGAGCCATACAGAGAGCATTTCTATCATCTGATCATCTGACTGTGACCTTTTTCATTACGACCATGAAGTGTGATGTGTCATCAGCTTGTCTGCAGAGTGAACAGAAACCATAAGCCATTAAATACAGTGTCCTTGCCTCAACTTGTACTCCTCACATTGCTAACAGACAAACCCTCTAACTCTGTCCCCAGTCCGAGGACCACGACGGGTAGCCAATCAAATTCCAGATGAAATTCTGCAAGACCCTGAGTTACAGGAGGCGATCAAAGCTTTGCCTGCGAACTACAACTTTGAGATCCACAAAACAGTTTGGAGAGTGAAACAAGCAAATGCCAAAAGAGGTGAGCTGTCTCAATCAGTTTGATTCATTTTGTTCATGGTTAGGAATCTGTTATTTACTCTGTAATTCGAAGCACATGAGGTAACTAATTCAACTTCAGATCATAAGATGATACAAATCATGTGTCCTACACTGACTCACTACCTTATACGGTGCAGAAATCTTGAGCTATTTCTCTGCAGGCTGACTGCTGAATACAGTAGGTCTGCATTATATGAGGAAAATATGGGGTTCAGTTCTGCGATGACAAGATGATTTGTGATAAATAAACACTGAAGTGTGCATATTAGGCTTAACATCTGAGTTTCGTTTAGTCCACTTCAGTGTGTTTTAAACAGCACCTGTCTTCTTGACATGCCACTTGGTCCAGAATAATTCCGAATAGCAGGACTGCTTTTCTTTTCCCCTCTGAGGACCAGTATTTCTCGGTTTTTCTTCCATCCTCAGCTGTTTTGCAAGATGAGTCAAAATGTGGAAACTGTGACACCTGTGCTATCATTCATTGTGCTTAACCTCTGCTGCTTTTGGTCACAGTTATGCACCAAGTGTGTTTTAGTCAGAGAGAAGTTTCGCCAAGAAAAAGAGTGGATTGAAAAATCTGTTTCAACTCCACACCTGATACAGAGGAATGTTTTAATGCTCCACTGTTCTCTGTGTCACTGTTACCCGAAAAAGTTCCCTATTTTTAGTTCATTGCAGCCCAACAGTTAAGTACTTTACTTTGTATTATTCAAACCTCATTTATTGCTGCTCTGCAGGTTTGGAGAAGATGAACGGCACAGAGTAGAGATCTAAACACACAGGATGCACAGCTTTGAATATCTTATACAGACATAAGGATTCATTTAAAATACATCCATGAATACATCTGTGTCCTGACCTACTTTGGCAACTTTCTTATGCAGACACGCAGGTTTATTTAGTGATGTCACCAAAATGACCCAATGTGAAAAGGGCATGCCACTTAGCCATTTAAATCCAGCATGTATTATATAACAGGTACATGTTAGAGATGTAATGTATGTAGTGCTGTGTGTGGTGTGTTCACTCTGATGTTACTAAAGTGAAGCAGAAAGGCTTTTCACAAGCACATCAGCCGAGTTTGAAGCCGGTTTACACTGAATTCATGAGGAGGATATGTAAGCCCTGTTTGATCTTTGAGGGGGGGACAAACCCCCCAGGAACTGTGCCAATGTGTTATTGACAGAGTTGGAGGGCTGCATTCACTCCAGCTGACACTGTGCCAGCTCAAATTTCTCCTCACAACTCACTTTGTTCAGTGAGACTTTTGTTTGAACTGATTGATTGGACTGGAAATTTGTTTTTTTTTTTTTAGCAGTGAGGGTTTGACCGACTTTAAAATCACTTTGTAAAGTTAACAGAAAAAGGGAGATTTCAGCAGCAGCATTTATATCAATTTCAGATCAGCTACGGTAACGCGATCGGTTTGAGATAGATGTCAAAATTCGTGCAGCTGTCTTCCAATCTACCTCGGTACAGTTTTGCATGTGTATTTTGACATCTCCTCGTGTGTGCGGTTCCCTGCGAAACAGGTCATCGGGTAGTGTTACAATGGCAGCCTCCAGCTGGAGGAAAAATCATCCTTCATTTATGTAAATGTCAAAATGTGTGCTCGTAAAGTCATTCCTGCCTTGGGTAGATATATGCAGATGGCAAGCCAAGAGGATTGAATCATTTCTTAGATGTCCCTGTGGGGTGTGTGTGCTTTCCACAGCTTGCTTTTTTTTTTTTTTTCCTGTTGTGTGACGTTTTTTCTATCAGAGCTCATCGTCTCTCTCTGAACTCTCAGAGCATAACTCACCTTCTCACCCCCTGTCTCTCTCTGTTCCTCTTTGTGTCCATCTGTTTCTTTGTCAGCCTTTGAACTGCTTTCAAATCACATACGCTGTGCATTATTAAAACCAAGAACTTAGACAGCAGGAATGTATTTCAGCTGCCCAGCCCCTTTGTGTCTGATTTTATTCAAAGTCAAAAGGTTTGTTTTAGTTTGCCTCTTGTTTTATTTTTATCTGAGTGTTTGGCTTCTTTTTTTGGCGTTATCTCTCTCTCTGTTCAAGGATAGCGTCGCTGTTCAGATCTATTTGAACTGCTCTCCTGATTACCGTTATAAAGACAGTTCAGATAAATACAACTGATCACAAACGTTCTGGTTTTGGTTTGGTTGGGCTTCAGTTACTGTTGAGTTGACTCTTAGTTGTGCATTAGCACATGATGATGACACTTTACAGCTGTGTGCAATTTGTTAGAGAAGTTTCATCATCTGTTCGCCTTTTAGGAACGACATAGAAACAGGTTCTATCAATATTTTGGTAAAAGCAAGAAGTAAGAATGAAAAATGTTGATGTCTGATAAGAAGAAGTGAATTATAAGTGATACTTTTGACTGTGGGAACTGGGAAAAATGAAAGATGTTTTTTGTTTAGTGAGAAAACCACTTACAAGAACAAGACAAGATTAGCAAAGATCTAAGAGGAACTGTTTCAACCATAGGGGGCGCCATAATCGATACACACTAGCTGCGTTACATAGATCATAAAATCCTTCTTAAAATAATTTTAAACGCTAAATCAGATTAAAATAGTGTCATGTAAACACCTTAGCGGATCCGATTCACACAAATCGTATTAAATTTCGGATCCGAACGTGGGAGGTAGTCTGCGCTAATTGACAATACGATTGATGCCACATATAAACGGTCACGTAACAAGGCTTGCAGGGAATAGGAAACCTGGAAGTTATGACCAAGACACAACAAAAGGATAAAAAAAATAAATAAAAATTAAAACATGACATTGATCCATTTTCCAGATGTGAACAAGAAGCCGGGAAGAAAAGTGCACCTCCTCTTCACTCAAACCTTTGAAGGTAGAAAGGCTTTTTGCACGCCATAGGAGCTCATCAATAGAATTCAAACATGGACTAAACGTGGATCGATTTATTTAAGGTTCATGTATACAGGTCACACTTAATTCACTCAGTACAATCGTGTTGAGGAAGATGTTGCATGTAAATGCAGCGACTGAAAGTCTCTCACTCGACATCTAAGTTTAAAGTAAAATAGGCTCAGATTGTTGGATTTTCAGGGTGTATTTTGAACTTGATTCGCCTCATTTTATCACAGCAATTCAGTTTTTTTCAATTTCATACACGACTTGCTGAAAAATCAGACAAGACAAGAGACAAAGCCAAAGTAGCGTAAAGCAATGCGGTCTTGAGAGTCTTGGGAGACCTTAAATTCATGAAAGTGTTTCCCTGCTGGGTTTGTAAAATGCTCAGGGAGCTGCTCTGTTTTCCATGTTCTCCTCAAAACCGAACTACAGACTATCAAAAGATCAGCACTGCTGACAGATTCTCCTCAGATGTTTCCTTGAGCTTTTGGAGAATACACAACATGTGGACCATTCAGTTCCTCTTTTCAGATTCAGCTGCTCCCGTCCATGTTGAGCTTCATTTCGGGAACAAATAAAGGAGAAGTTGCAGAGATAATAAGGATGAAAAATCACGATTCAGAATTTAATTTTGAATTAAGGATTGCCTTGATGCCAATGTTAATCAAACATCCTACTAAGCCACAGATGGCTCACCACAATTAACAGAAGAATCCAGACTGACTCAACATCTAGCTCCATCCATGGTTGTTATCTTGTTTTTCCCAATAAATGAATCGTCCCGTTCTAAATAGCCTCTTTATGCGTCTAGCATTAACAGAACTATTCATTATATCATCCCCAAATACAAAGAGAGTACAAGAAGGCAGACTAAAACGGCCTTTTCTGCTCTGCCTGTACAGCATGTTCCTCCACAGAGAACATGACAGTGGGGAGAGTGCTAACAGGGGAAAGTTCAGGCAGATTTTCAATAGTAGTTTCCACAGACTGGACATGCTTGAATGAATGGATGAATGTGAATGGCACTTATTCTCTCTGTAGGAGAATATCTGTATGCACGCTGGAAAAAAAAAGAAGAAAAAACGGGAGTTGATAATAATGAATTTTTTAATTACTTTTTTCTGGTAGAAAAGATTCTTACCCAGCATATATGATTCATTCATTGCCATGGTGTAACCTTGAAAAGCCTCTCGGGCTGCATCGCCTTGTCCTGCTCAGTTCAGTATAGTATGCAGTACCATCAACAGCGCCATCCTCATTCTTTGGCACCCTCTTGTTGGGATAATGTACATGAAATGAGACAAACTGCAACCTGTTGATCAAGCGGGGAGAAGAGACTTTTATTTGATCAATACAATTATGTTCCTTTATGAATTATCACTTTGTTTACGACCGTTTTTATTCATATTAGGGAATGCTTTGAACAGGTGATGGGAATTGGTCTTTTTAAGAAACAAACGTGGTAAAAATCTGGTGCTTGATTTACACTGAGCAGAGAGAGGGGCGCAGTGATCGATGCAAAGGAAGAGGGAGATTGCACAAGAGGATATATTTCCTGTAATCCAATATTATTGAATCAACATGCTTGCCCCAACATGCCCCACATTCTTAATGACTTTACTATTTTAGTCTTAAGACTTTACTATAACTCTATTTTTGTAATATTATGACTTTAATCTCATAACAATACAGCTTGGTTTTCCTAAAACTTTATTCTTGTTATAGAATGAATCAGACTTTATTCTGTGTAAAAATGACTTTAGTGTTTTTGTTTTTATTGTTTTTTTTTTTCCTTTTTGATGTGACCAAACTACTCCACAATAAACCTTGGGATAACTTCATGAGAATTAAGCTTTTTTTTAAAATATTACTCAACTCAACTAAACTCAAGTTTATTTGTAAAGCACTTTAAAACAACCAGAGCTGAACAAAGTGCTGTACATAAATAGACAAAACAATGCAGACATAAAAAACAATCAAAAAACAATTAAAACAATGGATAAAATAAAAGCAGAATTAAAAAGTAAAATATAGTTTCAATGTTTTTAAAAACTAATTTAATTTTCTAATTACCAGATGACATCATTATCAGCCATATTTAGCTGATGTGCTTTAACTAACTTTGTTAAATTCATCATATTTTTCTTTGTGTCTTCTGTTTGAATTATTGGCCACTTTGGGCTTCTGTAACATACACTTTAACAGACTCGGAATATGCAAATGTTTATATTGTACATACTGTATAATAATTTGTATACCAACTCTGTTGTTCCTGTTTATGTTGTCTGGCCATTCATCACATCTGTCCAAAAATGTTTGCACTGCAATCACACACTCCAAATTTAATCTCGCCCAGGATAATCCCTGCATACAGCCTTATTCTGGTCTCCTAGCTTGAACCCCCCTTTTGAAAATTCAGAGTAATCCCCCAGCTTTGTCTGCTCACTCTGCTGTTCGCTGATAAATTGGTGTTTCCAACACTTTCTTTATTTACTTTCTGTCTTTGCTTGTCAGCATAATCCTACATGTAGATTCCTCACACTCAAAGATCTAACGGCGGGGACGACCATGTAGAAACCGCTGCAAATTAAGTGACACAAGCAGGAAAACACTGCTTCCACACTTGTGTGTGAGTCATTAACTGTGTCCACCGCTGTCTAATGAACTTTCTCTGTTAAGGTTAGAAGCAACTTATCATGTGTGTATTCAGTCCCTCCTCTGGCGTCTGATTCACCTTTCACAGGCGGCGGCAGATGGAGAAAGCTCTTTGCTTCTGTCAGCAGAGGCAGAGGTGTGCTCAGAAACCTTTCGCTGTTAATAAACTTGCCCTTTTCCAGGTAATGACCTGTCTCTCACTGTCTGCCTGGGTGCTCTGTGATCCCTTAACCTTTCATCAGTAAGAAATGCTTTCGCTCCTCCCCTCCACACTGCGCTATCCATCACTCCATCTCATGACCACCCTCCCTCAACCTTCCCCGGCCTTTTGTCCGTCCAAGCTTTCATTGTTTAATCCTGTCTGCCACTGAAGTGTTGGAAATTGTTTCAAGACAAGTCATGTGAAAACCTCTGTGTGTGCTCAATGCAGCGTCCCGGTCTCATAAGCGTCCGCTGAGACATTGATGGATTTATTGAAGAAAGGTGTGACTGAGTTTGACTGGGAGAAATGTCATCTTTGATTGCAGCAGCCTTTGTTTGCAGGTTGTGTCTCTGTGACTAACTTGGTTACAAGAATCAAAAAATCTTGTCTGAACCGTGTCTAAAACAAAAAATAGCAGCATATCTAATAAGATCCCAAATATTAAACAGCTGAACCCTGAATTTCACGCAGTTACACACATGAGGCGTTCATGTCTGCTGCAAACAGAGCAGAGGAGAGAGGCGATGATGGTGCGACATACTTCACTATCAAAAAGTTGTTTTGAACACTTTCGCAATATCTTTGATGAAATCCTGTATTTTACAGCCTGCAATCATCCTATTTTTATGTTTTTATTGGTTTAGGTAGTTTTAAACTCAATGATCTGTCATTTCTGTTGTCAAAAAGCCTAGCCAGACGAAGGGGTTGAAAACCAGCCATAGTTAGAAATCAGTATGTGTGGCATCTACCTTGTGTAAACCCCATAGAGCGGTATATCATGCATTTGTTCCTGTCCAGTAAACATCTAAATAAATGAATAGAATAAAAATGCATATATGCAGTTATCATGGATTAGCTGAGAGATTGATTACAGGGTTCCTACACAGTTGGAATTTCCATACTTTTCCAGACCATACCCTACTTTTTAGAATAATTTTTGGAAATACCTACTTTTTTATTTTAGAACTGTAGTAATAGTCTGGAAACATACATATTTTTCCATACTTAATTCTTCATTTTTCATGCTTTTAAGACCTAGAAATTGATCAAATTTACCTCCATACTTTTTCATACTTGCATAGTAACCCTGTAATTAGAAAATGCTGAGGATTTTTTTTCTGCAGGAGTGAAGTGACCAGCAAAGTGTGTGAGATAGTTCCGAACTGATCCCTCTGAGATTTGAAAGGGACAGAAATCTGACAAGTTACCTTTTAAATGTGTCCAAGCCGGAGATATGTTTTCATCTGGTCTCATCTACAGAGGTAAAGATCAAGTCAGAAGTCAGTGACTTAACGTCCAGTCTGAGAAATTGGAAATCGCTCAAATTTTCTTGTAAAGGCAGCCCAGACAAGAGAGGGGGACCTAATTTTGGAGCTGTCAGTTAGACTAGTTGAGGTGGCTTTTGGTTGATTTAATGGCTGAAAGACTGAAAGTTCGTTCTTCAGGTGGAATAATTCTGACGGTCTGAAACATGGTACGAGTTGCTAGGTGCTGGATAACCTGATTAGGAGGGAGGTTAAGAAATTATAAATGATCAAGTCTTATGTGCTGTTTTAAGTCACAACGCATCAACTCTCAATATGATATTGAATCGATCAGTAGTGCTTACAAATTGTGGTATATTTGGTTTTGACATGTCTAGTTTCCTTGCTTTATATTCCTTCCTGAATCTGCACTATTTGTGTGAGAGCCACCACTAGATCTTGAAGGTTTTCTGTTATTCCTAACACATCCACTGTTAACAAGGAGTTTTACACCACTGCACAATAAGTGATGTGATATTATATGAAAATCACTGTGCAGAGAGAGACAGCACAATCTCTGCAGACACACACACACACACTGTAAATGATCACTCGGGGGAATAAGCCTATTCTATTCTGAGTCTAAAGATTATATTAAGGAAAATTATATTATGTACAGTATATCTTGAATTTTTCCAGAAGGTCAAACACTTCTCTTTATTAAACGACTTACTGTCTTTAACAGCACTGTTTGTATTGTGGTAGAAAGACGGAAAATTCTTTAGGGCCCAGGAGTTGTATTTAAAGATATCATATGTGTTTTTAGTTTTATGGTTTAAAATAGCAGTATCATGAAAACCCTGGGAATAATTCAAATATTAATTGTGCTGAATGATACGATAATTCCACTTCTAGTATAATGAGAGTCATTTATTAAGATGTTACCAAATATTTTCCAAATTCAGCCTGTTTAATTTTAGGGAAACCATTTTTTTCTTCTTTTCATACCACTTTAAGTTTATTTTTTTATGGTTTTAACCATATAAAGGAGGATCTACAAGGAGTATTTTTAAGAATTTTCCAGGATTTTTAAATGTAATTATCACCTAAAAGAAAACTAGGAAACAGGGTGTTGATGATTTGGTGCAGTGTGAAGTAAACCTGTTAATTAATTCTGAATAATCACAATGTTTTTATGCTGCACCTTTAAAAATGCTGGAAAATTAAATGTAGAGAAATAACTTTATTTAATTTTCAAAGTTTTTAAAAGATAAGAGTGTTTTCTCTTCCTCAGTCAGCACCATAGTCTCTCCCCTGACAGTAGAAATCTCCTCCCTCTCACTCTCGCCTTTCCCAGTCTTGTCCACTTCATGCTCTGATTCCTGTCCTCTCATTACATATGGGAGCACTTGACATCATCAATATCTCAGTAGTCTCTGATTCCAAGGTGTCGTCATGTTTATTTGATGACTAGATGGTAAGATTAATGTATACTTAATCACGGATTCGTTAGCATCTTTAATGCAAAAACCACAAGTCTTATCTCTTAAGAAATCCCCAAAGGAGCTCTGGGATTTACATCCACTTTGAAATCTAAGAAAACATGGTGATATTTTCTTGAAAGGAAAGCTCTGCGGTCGAGTTTGTGTGGACGAGGAAGCTTAAACACTTTGATTGCTGATAAAGTTTATGAAAGAGTGTTTGGACACGCAAAACTCACACTTATCTTTATTTATAGAAATGAAGCAGAGCTGTTGATGTCTTGATAGATTATCCTCAGAGGAAATTGAAACAACAGCTTAAAAGACGATAAAGAGAAAGAAGTGTTATGCAGGAGAGGTTTCTGATCCACAGATGTCTCAGCAGATACTCCAATGAAGGGTGTTCAACAGCAAATACTCTAATTTCCTGCCTCAAGCAAAGGCACCACCAGCCTTTGTTTGGTCTAGAAGGTCATCGCCCACACGCCTGTGATTGTCGCACATTCCTTGGGTCACTCTAACAAAGCCTAAATACACATTTATCTTCATTTTCTAGATCAAAACACTGCAACAATTCGATCCCTCTGGCGTCTGATTTCTGAAATTGATTACGTCTGGATTGTAGAGCATTATGGTGTTAGATGATAAGCTGTTCAGCTGACTGGTAAACCTGATCACTGACAGAGTTGGCAAGGTTTGATTGATTAGTGGATATTAAATGAAATATTTGCAAATGACAGTCGTCAAATCACAGTTTCCTCATGCAGAACAAGTAAAGTGAATGGTCCAGGTAGAAAAGGCCATGCCTCCATGACGCAACAGATGAGATTTATTTGTCAAAAGTCACTAAGACATGCAGAAGACACAAGAATCTAAATCTACTTTGTCCACGGGGGGCGCCAAAATCAACACAGATCAAAAGTTCCTTACATGAGCTGTTATAAGTGACGTATTTCACAATTCACCCTGAACAGTTGTCTTAAAAAGAGAAATGAAATAAAGAGGTCTAATCTGTAAAGATGGGTGTTTATGTTGTGGAAAACATGGATGGTATGCAGCAAAACAACACACAGGAGACAGGATGAGATCTGAAGAGCAGCGTGGGCGTCTTTATTGCACAGATGTCGAAATCAGTCCAGATGTTATGACCAAAACCAGCAGAGGAGCCTTGAATGCTCTTCTCCCTCACTTTTATCCCGTTGAGTGTGTATCTGAACATAATAAGTGTGTGTTACACTGTGTGCTTCCAGATGTGTGCCTCTAATGTGTGTATGTGTGCATATGCGTGAGTGTTGCAAGTGGGAGCCATTTCCTGCCTGGTATCTGACCCTCCGGGGGTTTTCCAAGGACATATCACATTGTTCCAAATTTCAACAAAACATCAGTATTGCTGGGAAAACAAGTTAACTTTCCCGGCAGTAATTAGGACCACTTGACTATTTTGGCAAACTGAGAAGTTCAGGCTCTTGCAAAACAGCCTGCTTAAACAACTTCAAGTGAAGCCATCCTGACCTACTGATAAATCATAACAATATACATAATTAAAAATGTTAATTTAGGCATAATGACATTCTCCTTCTAAAGATGGGTGTTTACACATGACTAGAGCAAGCCTCATGTGGTCAGAACAGGAACTGCAGCTTTCAGCTCTACTTGTTGCTACTTGTTTAAGGTTATTTCTACCTGAACAATATATGGTAGATTTCATAGATGCAAAAAGTGCAAAAATGAACCACCGGAAGACAGAATCAGTTGGCAGCCTAGGCCTGGACGATATAGAAAAAAAGCATATCGATAAAAAATAAATCATATTGATCGATATCGATAATTATCAATATAATTATTATAATTATTTAACATATATTTTAATTGCAGCCCTGGATGTTTTATGCTATTGCTTAATGACCTGCTTTTAATAAAGAACACACAAGCACTGAATTCAAATTCAAACCTTTATTCAACCACCTTTTTTTTTTTACCACAACTGAAAGTTTTTTTAAAAAAGAACTTAAAAAAAAAATAAATCAACTTAAGTGGCCTGAGTGACGTCAGTAAATACTGACAAACATAAAGACTAAAGTGACCAGAAAATCTGATAAATAAATATTTAAATAGTCTTTTGATGAAAATAAACAAAACAAACAAATATATAAATAAACAGAATAGCTTTAGGTGGGAATAGCATACTACCAGTTTTAACTGTGTGGGAAACTGCCCACAGCCTGGTGTCTGAACACTGAAATATTTCTTCCGGGGTCGGGAGATTTATTTTTTTTAATTATCATGTGATTGACTTAATACGCAAACTGAGCACGAGAAGCAGGACTCATCCACGCCGGTGTTGTGTCGTAGAATGCACCCCTGCCGAATGCCCCCCCTGCTAGTAGCCATGATCCAAATACTCGCGTCTTTGTAAAATATGAGCTCATTTCCTTCCACTTTAAGAAGCTAATGAGTGGACGGGATGCAGGGGTGCATTCTACAGCACAACACCGGAACGTATTTCCTCCGCACCCTTCTCACCTTTTCAACCCCTGACCCATTTTCATGCCTGAAGCGCTGTGTTTGAGAAATACTTGCGGCCGGGCACTTCATATCGCGGGTCGAGAGTGGCTAGAAGCTGGTCGAAGCCAGGCTTTTCAACGGTAGTTATTGGCAGTATGTCCCTCGCTATGAAGCATGTTACTGCATGGGTGATGTCCTTATGCCGCTCGGACGCTTTGTCGTATTTTGGCAAGAAACGAAGTCCAGTTTGGTCTGCTTCACTTGCTTTGTGCTGGTGCTGGCAGCGGTTCCAGAGGATTCCTCCGACGATGACGTGGAGCCGCGGCGCGGCCGACACAGCTCGTACTCCTCGTTACCAGACTTGGTTTTTACTAATTCTCTGCAAATTTTGCAAACGACCGCTGTTCGCTTTTTGTCAGACTTCTAAAAACCAAAACATTGCCATGCTGGTGAACTACTGAAACCTTTTTTCGGGACAATGTCCTCCGCTTCTCCTTGCTGTATCATTTTTTCTAATACACGTGCTGTCTGTTGTGGTTTGATAGGGGCTGGGCTTGGTGCCGTAGCGTACCTGGGTCTGCGTTTGTGATTGGTTGGGAGGAAGTAATGACTGTAGTAAAAGCTACATGATAGGCTATGATGAAAAAGAAAGGGAAACTGTGTTTTTCTATCGAACTTTTTATCGACCCGTTTTTTTTCTATCGCTCCACACGTCTATCGATCGATATATATTGTTATCGAATTATCGTCCAGCACTATGGCAGCCTCTTGCGGGATTTATTGCTGTAGTTAAAGCATCGACCACAAAGTCATGACAATCAGATGGACAGCAGTAGCCGAATAATCCCTCAACAATTCTCCCTAGAACTCTTTCTTATAAGAGCTCCAATGACGTCAGTAGTAGTTATCTTCCCGTAAGTGTACTTGATAGCCACCAATGTGAATTCCTATGTAAACATGTTTTCTCGCTGGCCGGCTCTGCCATATTTTCTGTTGAATTTTGCATCTACATCCTGTTTTTCAACACATTGCAAAACAGGCCATTAAGTCTGCTCTAGACTCTCTTTGCTCAACTGCTTATATTTATATTTATGTAATTTGCTCCCACAGATACAGATACCTTTTTCTGCTCCATATGTCCAGATCATAGACTGTATATAAAATGGACGGCATCTGCCTCCTCGTTGGGTAAAGCCACCGCAAGAACAGCACCCTCTGGTGACGGGCTGCAGTATAGGTCATAAATCCTGCCACCTCCAGCAATCCCTATGGAGTTGTGGACAAAAATGTAGACACAGAATATAAAATGTTTCTCCCCCCTGGTTGCAATGTTGACATGTAGTTATTGTAAGACTGGTTTATGCTTATTAAGGGGGTTCATGTTTTCTATGATTGACACTTGATACAGCCTATGGGCGTATTAAGATTGCGTAGCTCACCTGGGGGATACGCTGTTTAATCTGAGCATCATCACAGGGACTCTCCCGCCGAATACGTACAACGCCACTGTGCAAATGGTGATTCCAGGAAGTGGAGAAAATCCTGAGAGCAATTTGGCTTCAAATTCGTATAATGACAGAACCAAGTTGTTCATATTATATACAGTCTGTGGTCTGGATCATTAGATCAGCAGTTTGCCTGTTTTTCCGACACACAACCCCATCTGCGTATTAATTTCTGTTCCTTGGTTCTGATCCTATGGCAGCCTCCTCCTTTTGTCCATATCAAATCCTGGCTTTGAAACATAAACTTGTGTGAAGCTGGAGGAGGGTGGGGGTGTTTTTGTGTGTTTCAGTAGAAAAGAGAGTGAAAATGTGACTCACAGAGCTGGTGGCGGGCACAGAGACAGACGGGAAAAAAAGAAAGAGTGTAATGGCTCTGTACAAGCCCTGAGCTGTAGAGCCAGACCTGTGGTGATTGGTTTGGACTATAATTCCAACAGCCCGTCACTTGCTAAAATAAACCAACAGAACCGCTGTGGCAGAGGGGAAATTGCCCTGAAATGTCACTATTTGCTGTCAGCGGAGCTCTCTGAACCAGCAGCAGAGGCTTTGAATAGCTGTGCTGTCCAGGATTTAATAAATGTGCCATCACTGTAGCGCAAGAATGTTAATTTTTCTTCATTGTTTGCCTTTATCCTCTCTCTCCAGTGGCTCTGCAGCTGCCAGAGGGCCTGCAAATGTTTGCCTGTGTCATCGCCGACATCATTGAGAGGTAAGACGGAGAAAGAAAGCTTTTCCTCTTAAATCAAGGAAGTTATTTTAAAGTCTACGAGCGAACAGTAGGTGGAGAAGTAAAACCAGCCATGTATGAACTCGAACCACAGCAGCAGCTCGGTACTCATTAGTGGAGCCGGAGCTTTATCGCAACTCCCCTCCTTCCACTCGATCAGGGATCCAGCAGCAAATGAGACACGATTAGGTTTAAGGACTGAGGAGATATCACAGCCCCGCTTGCTCACGGTTGGAAGAGGGTAGAGATATTATTCTTGTTAATTACATCTTGTTTCAGTCTGCATATGCCCTATTGCACACCAGCACTCCATCACACAGGCACCAAAAAGTTTTTTTGTACCATCCTGCAGTGAGAAGTGCTCCAAGTAGTTTATCTTTTCTCCTACTCCCTGCTCTGGCCTGCGCTGTGCTAAATACACGATGTGCTTCAGCGCTTTGTAAATAGAAACAAGTGCCCTGAAAGCTCTTAATGTGAGCTTAAACTCTACAGCAAAGGAAAAATCTGGAGTTATTTCCATTCTTCTTCCTTGTTGTTGTCTCTGTGGTCTTATTTCACCTCCGCTTGGCCTCTTTTTCCTCAGGAGTACTGCCTGCTAAGTGTTTTCTCAAAGAACAGCGGCCATCATTAAACACCACTCTTGGTAGGTGTTTAGTCGATAATAACCTGATTAAGAGATGGGCGAGGTGAGGAATAGAGTGACTGCAGTCGCCATAAAATTTGGGGTGTTTGATTTCACTCGGGAAACTTTGCTCACACCAGTTTGCCTTTTTTATTTCCTCTCCTTTTTTTAAACACTGATATATTGATTAACCGTAAAAAAATTGAAGCTTCGGTCATCTTCCTGCTCTCTGTTAACTTGTCTATCAGTCTTTCTCCTTTATCATCTCCATCTTCTTTCTGTCCGTATCAAACATCTATCCCTCTACCATCCATCACTCTCTTTCCCGTTTATTTTTTTTCTACCTTTTTATCACCAAAAGAGATGATAGAGTGAGGTTTTTGATGATAAGGTTCGGTCTTATCAGTCCAGCTGTTATCACACCGGGAGCTATAGCCATTTGCTGCGCGGCGTTTAAACCGCACACCCATGCAGTCCACATTTATACGGTGTCAGTGTCCATCGCAGAGTCTGTTAAATCGGCCCCATCTCCTCTAATGAGAGCAATTAGCGGACACTAATTGCTTTTTCTCACTCACTTCATACCTCCTCCACTATCGCTTGTCTCTCTGTATTTTTCACCCCCACTCTGCCGCTACTGAAGACATTTCTCCAGCTTCTCCTTCGCTTGGATCTGTAACATAGTTCCTCGTAAGCAATCCTGCATCTATCTATGCTTTCTAACCATGTAAGTAGTTTTTTTTTGTGGTTCTGGGTTTTTCCAGAGTTAACAGATGGGTTCTTTGAATCCTGGATGAACATCACAGCCTTTTTGAGAAGTACTGAATATCTTCCATCTGCTGCACAGAATGACAGGTTGGGTAAAAAAATAAAAATTGGATGACATCAGCTGAGTTTTAGGAGAAAATTAAAAAGTTCTTGATGAACTCTCCCATGAACCAACATGATGGTCACCCAAGATCGTGCAACCCCAGTTTCATCTACAGCTGGTATTTCCAGTTTATTACAACTTTAGTCTCACTTTGGTGGTTTCCACGTGGGGATTATTGGAGCAGTGAACTTGCCAAAATCAAAAACGTGGATGCACCACAGTCAGAGTGGAGAATGTTTTGACGACATCTATCGTCTATCGCTGGGGAAACCGAATCATTTATTTGGGTTCACACTTAGGTTTTCACTCTCATGTACGGTAAGATTCTCCATCTGTAGAGCTTGGCTGTCATGAGGGAGAACAGAGCTGTGACACTAACAGGCTGTGGAAAATAAACACAGAAGAGCACAATAGAGAAAGTGTCTGCTTTATTTAAGCCGCTACCTATCCTTCCAAATATGCCAGGAGAGGCTCGGATGTGATTCTCAGGATCAGCTAGAGGGATTACTCAAAAGCGAGAGTGATGAAGACAAAGGATGTGCGCGTGTAGTCGACTAAACGGCAGAATTAAACAAATAATCAATAATTTTGTTATTGTAGACCCAAAAGTCTGAACATATGAGGTCTCAGCTTTATTGAAGCCGCCTCCACTTGAACTTGAAGCTCTAGTAGGTGACGACTGCTACAGCACTCTGCTAACATTTGCAGATATTAAATGGCATCTCTTAACAACCACTCGGGTAGAGCAGCACAGACATGTGGATGGTAACCTGCAGAGAGCCAAAGGTTGGTGGTGCTAGCTCTGCTATTGTTAGCCACAGTCATCAAACCAATCTGACATTGTTTGCCTGCAGACTCTTTAAAGCAGTGTCAATAAATTGTGCTCCATTTTGACAAATTTAACTGTTTTCTGTAAAAACTGAGTATTAAGAATACACTTCCACGCTCAGATCACCAAAGATTGTGAAATTAGATGGCTGACCAGTAAGGATGGGTGATAAATTATCGTACATGATATATGTCAGAAAAATCCTCCATGATAAATATTTGCCATCTCATGATAAATAGGATAAATGCAAGTTAATGACGTTTTCTTCATTAGTTTTCTCCATAACCTACCATTTAAACTTGTGGTTAATTATCTTATTTGACTGATCCAACTGGTGTTCTCAAGACAAAATGAGTCAGGATCGTCATCGCCAGAATGACAAATCTTATTGTGATAAATTTTTTAGCCCCTATTGCCCATCCCTACTGACCAGTATTTATACGTCAAAAAGTTGAGCAGAGTGTCGTCTCTGCAGATGAAAACCCACATCACCAACCAAAGCGAGAAGTCAACATTTAATGGAAGTCCAGTCTCCTCTGACTTATTACATGAAGGTATCATGACTTGGCGGACTGCAAATCTTCTTAGCCGTGCTTTGCTTATGTAATGGCCACAAGCGCAGCAGCTTAAGTTGAGGACTAAATCACATCATGGAGCTTAAATTCAAGTTAAAAAAAGTGAGTAGAAGGTCAAAACCATCTGGTTACTCCTCACACTGTGATCTTTGATCCCAATGTGGGGACCAAATTAAAGCTTATGGGAGAAGAAACCCAAGGTCTTGGTTTTAAGTCTGAATCCCTCCCTGCTGTGACCTGATAGATAGTGCCCTGGAAGTCTGTGTAGTCCTGATAACAATCTCAACATAAAGGGCTCCGAATTTGGCTGATCCCCTCAAAGCTTTAACCTGCAGGTCTGTTTCTTGGAGTCTAATCTCCCTCTGGGATAAAACTGCATCTGGGGACAAAACCAGGATGTCCAGTTGAGGTGTCATGTCACAAGTTTTGTAAACCAGAGATATAGGAAATCAAAATAATTCTTGTTTTATTCTAGAAAATATTAAGACAAATGTTAGAGCAATGGAAGCAAACATAGATGGTGATTGGAGGGTTGTGTTTGAGGATGGTGAAATCAGTAATCTTTGGATGAACGCACAGCAGGCAGCTGACCTTGACTCACCCCGTGGAGGGCTACCAGAGGTCGAAGGCTTTGGATGATTGTGCCGTCACCATCCCCGCCATAGTCCCTTATATCGGTGAGACAGGGCTAAGGTCCATATCAAAATGGGGATGAAAGGCCTAAGCTGGCCTCACAGTAAGGAGCTTCAGCGGGAGGGACTGCTAAGTCCAAATGAGGACAATCTGCTCTGAATTATGACTGTGCTGCAGTTAATACATCCAGGCCAAAATACACACGCTTTACATACGCACACTTTTGCATCACAGAGTACCATGCTGAGGAGAGTAGGGACTACATTTCTCTCTTTCTCTTTCCGTCTCTGTTTGTATTTCTGCCTCTTTATCACAAACTGAAAGAGAGGGACATGTTTGTGAACTTATTCACGATCAAACAGAACAATAAACTCCAGCCTCTAAAGTGAGCTTAAAGCGAAATGCTGAAAACGTCTGACTTTGAAAAAGCATAAAAGCCATAAATGAATGCATCAATCAAACGAGTGTGGGACCTAATTGCAAAGAGTCACTCGGTAATTAATCTTGACCTGAGAACTATTGACAAAATCTAAATGAGATGCATTGAGTGGTTAGTGCTTCTCATCTGAATTGCCCTCTGTAATTTCCATGTACTGACTAGAATTAAGCCTAGAAGCAGGAGGTGATTTTAACTGTTTTCACCCTCTACAAAAATAGAAAAACAGACTGCGCTGTCTTCTGTGATGGATGTTATTGTGGCTGTGAGCAACTCAGGGGAAAGTTTTCAACAACAATCAGGGATGAATTATGTCCAATTCTTTGCATTTTGAGTTGTTTTTTATCTGGAACACTTTCCCTCATAAAAAATTGAAGGTTATCTTGATCTAAGACGGCGTAGTGAAGGACTGAAGCTCCTTCAGCCCGAAAAAAAGAAGACTAAACAATATTATTGATCAGTCAAGATATCTGTTGTCTGTTTTGAAACCAAAACAGCTTATTCGGCCTTTTTACTTTATCATTCTAATACTAGGAATGGATATGATTAATTTATCATTAAGAATTAATCGATCGCGCAAAATTTTGATCGACGTAATATTATTTGAAAAAGGGCTGACAACGTGTGTCCAACCTCCACCAGCTTTCTACCAAAGATCAACATTTGCTGATTGGGAGGGATACCTGCTTTGTTTAGTTAGTGCGTGTGGGTGTGTTAAAGCAGTGCAGTGATGATCACCGTGCAGACAGATTTTGACATTTTACAAAGGGGAGTGATACAGCGTCAGCGGGCTTCCGTAGGAGTAGAAAAAAAACATGAAGAAAACAAGACCAAGTGTGACGTAGGACCATTTCGGAAAAGATGCTGTGTACGGGAACAACACGACAACAACCCCAGTGATGTACCACTTGAACCACTTTCATCCGACTTGGGTTAATGAATCCTCAGAGTGCTCTCAGTCTCAGCCTACCATCAGCTCCTTGCTAGCAAGGAAGAACTGTAGGGTGACCAGCTGTCCCCGATTCTAGAGGACACTCCCCCAATTTAGATGACCTGTCCCCGACTAAGGTTGTCCCTGGAAATGACCCTGATTTTAGCGTTTCACGAATGAGAAAAAAACAACAGTTATCACGGTAGCTGAGTAGGAAGCACGAGTGAGCATGTAGCACGCAGTCTTTAACAACAGTTATGGAATTTCTATTTGGAAAAACATGTTTTTTGCCGTATTTTCTGCCATTCACATGAAAAAACGATCAAATCAATGATTGATCATTATTTTATAAGGTTAATCAATCGAGGGGCTTTCTTAAAATGCCCATTTCTAGCTAATACATCTTTAACCCACTTTAATCTCACGCTGATACGGTGAATGTTAATAAAGATGATATACTTTATTAAAACAGGATCTTGTCCAAGTCGCTTTGAATTCAATATATTGAGGAATTCATGTTTTCGTTACAGTCCATAATTTCCTGTATGCCACACTGCCACATGGAGACATTGTTTTTTAATTCATTTTCAGCAGGCTGTAGAAGCTGGAGCGTTTTAAGGTCGGAGCCAACTTTTATAGTACATCGGTTCGCACACTAAACTCCTCGGGTGACACCGTATGTAAAGCAGCAGTCCATTTATCACAGCGATATTGTCCTTTTATCTGTTATTCTCTGTGCGTTTTCATTTTGTTATTTCTTTCCCTTTGTTGACATTGTAAGAGAAATTTCAAAGACTTATGAACTCTGCTTGCACAAATAAAAGCAAAGGAGAAAAAGCTTTCAGAATAAAACAAAGAATTTGTAACTTGTGCAGGCAGGCAATGATGCATGTGCTGTCACTGCACCATATGCTTTATTGCCTTTGATGGTATGCCAGCTGTCTGCTTCGAGCTTTGAAAGATACTTTTATGAACTTCCTTCAATATTTACTGCTGCCGCTGCCTTTGTGACAGGGAAGAAATAAAAAAAGCAGGAAGCAGGGCGTGTGGGGCTGTCACCGTGTCCTAATCCTGGGGACAGCGCTCGCATTTAATGTTCCGTCTCCCTCTGTGCCCTCCTGGCTTGAAAAACCCCAAGCCCTCTACATGGAGATGTTTGCCAGCAACCTAATCCGAGGTCTTGTACTCCCAGGCTTGTTGGGTAAATGACAAATTTGCTGAGCACGCAAGGCCAAAAAGGCGCCTGTTTTTGAGTTGGATAAAAAGACGATGGTGAAAACTGAGACATCACTTTCCCAGGGTGAAAAGAAGTCCTCTGGGTAGCCTGAGGAAACAAATCAGTGTCTCTGAACTGCTTCTGTTATCTGTTACCAAATCCTGAACTCTTTATGCCAACAAGGACAAACTAATACAAGACATAACTACTTGTATTTTTTTTTTTTTATTTCAGTTTTAACATCTTTAAGGACATTACAAAATGAACTCACTCACGCCCCCCACCTCGAACTTGTGCGAGTAATTAAAGGTCCCGACTCTTGTCCGTATAGATAGACTTCATTCAGTGATTAAAGCAACTATTATACTAAGATTAACTTGAGTTTTATTGTATATAGAATGAACATTGAATGCTCTGAGCAAGCTGTAATAAACATGGAACAACTTTTCTTCTTTTTTCCGTCTACCATATCTGCCCAAAATCCGAGGAATTTCCAAACTGAGCCTCCAAATTTCATTGGAGTCCAGACCATCTCTCTCTGCATGTGCCACGGATGGTTTTTGCAGCTCCTGTGACCTGTCCCTTACCCATCGTTACAGTGCGGTCACTCGCAAAGCAGCCACTGTTTTTTTATTGTATTTTTTCCCCTTCCAGTTTTTTCCTGCTTTTTATTTGATAGTCGAATATTAATTTTCATATTCGAATCGCGTTTTTGTTTTAACATATTCAAATATATATTCAAATTTAGAATATTCATTGACAGCCTCATTGAACACATATCACAGGTATTTCTGATGATGGAGGGTCCATATCACACCTGCACACAATGTCACGTGTCTTGATTTCCTTGTCGTTCCAACAGAAATTTGAACCCTGATCAGCCACTTGGTCTAAATGTGAGGAAACACTCGGTGAGCAGTCCAGTTACACACAGGATCACAAAAACACAGAATTCTCAGTTAACAATTGAGATTATGGAATGTGGCAATGAGCGAGCACCACCAGCCTTAAAGTCTTCTTGCAGGTTATTGTCCACATTCCTGCACCGGTTATGTATCAATCCTGTCAAATGCTTTATTTCCGTTCAGACCAACAGCCTTCATACAGCTTTTTCTCAGTTTTCTAGATCCAAATACTGGGATGCCATATGCCATCTGCGCTTGTCTAAATCTAGATAGGAAACCCATGAGTCAAAAATATATATTATGGTGATCAACGCCTTGAAATTCACCGGCAAAAAACAGTAAACACAGAGTTGGAGGGAAAATTACCCACTCAAACAGAGAGTGAGAGAACTCCCAAGCGTATGAATGGTCGTGAAAGTTTTGACTGCCGCTAGATTATTTTCCTTATTTGGCAGTCGCTCTGAACACATTCACCAGTTACCAATTCCTGTTATTTCAAGTGTTTGTTTGTTTTTTTCTGCAGAATAACAGTCAGCAAAAATACATCCGGTCTGATCACACTCTATTATAATGAAGCCCACGTTTCTGATAAAAATAGACCAAAGAACAGGAAGGAAGTTCTTCCGTAAAAGGCGCATAAATAAAGATAAAGCAGCGATTGAGTCTAGGCTTTTACAGAGAAGGCCAAACAGGCTTGGCATTGAGTTTAAAGAGATGAGTCAGTGATTTGTACTTAGCACAGAAATAAACGGTGTCTAAGATCCGGATACTGAATTTAGGAGTGACTAGAAATAACCTGATGATAAGAGTGAATGAGGTAAAAAAGGGAAAGATTGTCCTTCAACACCTAGCAGTTGATTACTCTGAAGTGACACAAGCTGGTTTACAGTCAGAGTTTTTCATCAAATATCTGATCGAGTTGGGATATTTTTCTGTAATAACTTTGATGAAGACGCTCATATTTCTTAAAGTCCAAGTCTAATGACTTTGTTTTACGGCTGACTTCTCCAGTAGGTCAAACCACTTAATGAATAACTATAAAACTACAGATATTCACAGATTTTAGAGGATAATCCTATTTGACTTTGATCCCCCCACTTCCTCAAAGGAACGCCATTAAGTTTGCACTTGATGAAATTATTCTGAGTGTTGGATAACTCGCCACAAGATTTGAAGTACACATTTCTGTTTTCCTCAAAATGAACCATGATGCTCAGATCTTTATCCGTCAATAAGGAGTACACGGGGGCCAGGATCAGAGAACCAATCAGAAAGGAAAGCTGGCATGAAGAGACTTGGGTCTGAAATGCTCTTTGTCAGCCATCCTGGATAGGGATGGGAATCGAGAACCAGTTCTTGTTGAGAACCAGTTCCTAATTGTTCAATCCATCTACATCGTTTACATTTTATCTCAACGATCCCCCCCAACCTACGCGACCGAGATCAGAAACTTTGAGGAAAAAAACACAGCGGCCTGTCCGGGGTTTTGTATGGAAGTGTTGAGTTTGTGTAGCATGAACTGAGTAAGAAGTGCTTAAAAAAAACACTTGACCCGACCCAAAAAACCCTCAAAATCTTTGTGCACGACTCCGCCCCGTGTAGTAATGTCCTTGTTTGGGCGATCCATAATATGGTCACCCTAATTTGACTTAATACGGACCGAAGGAAATGCTGTAAAAATAGTTTGTTTGGTTATTTTTAGATTCTCACTGAAGGTGGCGTACATCTTTTTCTGTTATCAGAGACTCAATATAATTTGGAGTTAATGGTGAAAACCTATAAAAGTAAGGCATTGATAAAGGAATCATTAAAGAATTGAATCGATGAGCAGAATCGATAATGGCATAGATATCGATAAAATCTTATCAATTCCCATCCCTAATCCTGGACAAGTTGTCCTCTTGTTTGTAAGATGCACTGACACTTTGATGGAGAACTTCACTTGGAGTCTCACTGACATACTCTCCGACTTGTTTTCCATTCGTTAATATATTTTACAACCCAAACCACCCCTCAAAATCTGCCTCCTGTAGTTAAAGTAAGAGTCATGACACATGCAGTGTGTTGGTAAATTAGGGTACAGTATGCACACCAGGTCCCCAGACATCTCCAGGTGCTTCGGCGTGGCTGTTTCCATCCATCAGAGTAGATTCTTCTATTCTTCATATTCGGTATGGCAGGTTGAATCATTTCAGTGGGAGCAGCAGCCACAGCCCACAGCCTCCCAGGGTAAATGTCAACTCTCCCATTAGGAGGGAGCCTGGAAGGAGCCTCTGACGCCTTCTTGCCCTCACAGCATCACAGTCTTCCCTGCGCCCACAGCACAGCTGAGCTGTAGCAGCAGATCTGGGTGTTAGTGATTGAGGGAATGTGTCGGTATCCCAGCACGTACTGTAATATATACGTATGTGCATATGTGCCCCATCGTTGTGTGCTGCTTCATACTTCTGTTTGCTCTTTAGCTGTTTGAGATTCTCATATATATGAAGTAAAGGACAGTATAGAAAGGGGAAATAGGTTCCTGTGTTCCTTCAGAGCATCATTTGGCAACCTGTTTTTTTTTTTTTACAACCCATATGGTGTCTGGTTACAAATTATTCAGGTTGTCAAAGCAATTAATGCTCCAGGGTTTTCGTTTGACAGCCATCTTAAATCAACATCCGTAGAAGAAGTGAAAAGTAGGACTTAAGAAACCCAAGCCGAGGTGTCTTGTACTTTTTTCTTGGCTACCATCCATGCGGAGAGATAGCACTAGCTGTAAGAAAATTTCTGCAGTATAGCTTTGACTCAGAGACGTACAAAATCTCCAAAATCAGCTCATGAAAGGATCTTTATTTTATAATCCTTATTCCGAAAGAAAAGTTAAAATGAACCTAATATCCGAATTAGAGATTCAACATCAAATGGCTCCCTAGATAGAGCCATGTGATGTTTAATGAGGTTTCCTGTCAGGCTCAACCTCACAGCCCACCTGGAGCGCATGATGAACTTCAATGATACCTCATCACCAGAGACAACCTGTAAAAACCCTAAAGAGACCTGCCAGCATAGGTCAGGACATGTAGAAATGCTCCAAGACTTGATGATGATACAGGAGCACAGTGTCCTTTTCCAAATTTGCTTTTATTAGAGAGGAGAATCTCGTCTGAATAGCTTTCTGCTGTTACTCATAGCATAGCGGGAAGTGAGTTTTGTTGATGTGATTTTTCCAGGTTTATAAATCTGGAATAATCTGGATTCCCAAAACTGAGAAGTCAATGCGTGAGACTGATCTTCTCTACAAGGATGTTGGTGTTCAGCTTGAACTCAGCCTGTTGGATCATGTGATAATGTAATGATATTAAAATCTCATAAGATGATAATGCTGCAATAACAAGGCCGCAGTTTTATTGTGAGAGTTAAAAAAATAGCTCTAAGTTGCTTATAAAGTCCATCCATCTGTGGTGAGTGAGATACACTCTGCTTGTTGTTTGGTGGTAATAGTGACACTGTAGCTCCAGCATGTCATCTAACCTTCTGAATCCGTCCTTGTCAACCACAGAAAACGGCCGTGGGCCGTCGGATACACATTCAGCAGTACGTCTTTATTTATTTTGGGGAAGTTAAGCTGCAAAATCATGTGGTTTGCATTCAGCATTGAGCAGTTTCTCTGCAGATGTGTAGCTCTCTCCAATTCTGCATGTTACTTGTGCTCAGCCTTTTCTCCTTTCTCAGTGTTGCTAGTTTGCTGCAGTTCGCCAACTTTATATTGAAACAGGCTCTCCATGAGGTTTATATAATTTGATATATTCCCATGCATTTGTAATGCATGATCAAGGGGGGAAAGCTGTCAAAAGGTATGACAAGCCTGGATGAAGTCGCTTTGTATGTGGCATACTTTGCACAGTGAAGTGGCTGCTTACTTATTTGAGCGCCATCTTCTGGGTAAGTGCCGTATCACAATAGTATACATTTCTCTTCTTATTTTACTGGTGTATTGACCACGCTGGTGTATAATGTCCAAAAAAATACTAAAATACATTGAATTCTATTTTAGCTTGTTCTTTATGTGACAATAAGAATGATACTAAGATAAAAATGCAGAAAAGATGTAAAATAGTGGGGAAAAAAGATCCCCTGAAATATTAAAAAATTATGTTTTTTGCTTCTCCATTTTCAGGAGACGTATCCCAGATCCTCAGCTGTAATAAGTATACCTGCGCTTGGGGGTCATAATTGGTCCAATTTAATAAAACCAACTCTTAGGCAAACAGATGTATCTCAGAATGCAGGTTGTGATCCGTTGTTTTGTCAGGTTGTGTAAGGGGTTATAAATACTAAATGGGTTATGACAGTGTGAAGTGGATCAGCCACCACCACTATTTTTTTTTTTTTTTTTTGCCCCGAAGACAAAAGTGTGAATGACCACCAGTATGCTGTTTATCATCTGCCTACTATCTCATGTTCAGGCAGGCTGCAGTCCCTGATGGGCGCTGACACTGTGTCATGTGATATAGCGGCTGATAACACCTTTGAAATTGTCTGAGCCGTCATGAAATTACATTTGATTCAATCTGAAGATACAGTAAAAGAAAAAAAAAAAAGGTCACCAGAGCAAGACTGGGCAAGCAAGATGGGGGCTTTGAGAGGACTTTGTGGTCTGGCCTTTGACTTTTAAACATGTTATGGTGCTAATGAGTGCATGTGGTAAAGGCAGGGGTTCGCATTAGTTCAGTAAATGTAGAGTAATGATACAAACAGACTCCCCCTCCTCTCAGCTGTTCTTAGAAAAGATAACCAATGCTCAGTACTGGAGGCTCATGTCCTTTCTCCCCCCTCTCTTCTGCGTCCATCACAACCTCTCAGATCGACCATAACCTCCCTCACTTTGAATGGCACTCTTCCAGACACATGACCATGCACATGCACTCAGACAGAGCTGTGAAATATATTATGCACAGCCTGGAATAAAACGATTGGATGACTATTGCAAATATTTGAAAAATGTCCTTTCACAGTTACTCAGTTGGCGCTGCTGAGGCGGTTGAAGGACACAGATTGGGAATGCACAAATTGGAAAGAATGAAAACAAAGTACAAAAACTCAAAAGCATATTTGAAGCTCAACAAATGAATTCCTTGCTTTGGATGAACATTTGGAATAATGATGCAGTGTTTGAAGCATCTTTGTGTGTGGTCAATCCAGCCGAGCCGTCTTTTATCATGAAACAGCTCAAATATGGACATCATTTCTGTCATACTTTCTCATATTTAGACATAATTTGATCAATCATATGGATTATGTGCCGTAAAGATATGCGAGCTCCCTACCAATAGAAGAAGAGACCAAACAGCTGCTCTTAAGGTTGCCCCTTTTTTAGACTGAGGATAAATGAAGGACAACTCAATCTGTCGGACCCACCCTGATTCATCGAGCTCTAATACTAATCTTAATGAGGGGGCGGTCCCAAAAATTAAGCCTGAGCTGTAATGATAGACAGCAGCACAGAGAAATCATGACAAGTAGCAGAAGAAGAGCAGAATGGAGCCCGAAAGCTGTTGAAAATGAAGAGAAGGGGGAAGAGACTGTGAAATGACTTGAGGGAGCCGCCTGACAGGCGAAGAAGAAGGACCTCAGGGATGAATGAAAGTGGGATTAGAAAGATCTGACCTCATCAATCAATATAAGGAAAGGTTTTTATATTATTGTCCAGACTTCACTGAGGCTATAAAAGACAGTGATCTACAGCATTTTATAAAGATTGTTTCCAAAGCTGAAATGAGTACATGCTGCCTGTCAACAATTTTTTATAAAACTCGATCATAGTGTTATTTTTGAGTTGTTTATTTCAAATCAAATAAGTCATTTTTGCCGAATAGGTTTGTAGGTTTTGATAAGAATAATTTTCTTTAATTTGTATTATAAGGTCATCCCTGTAAATGACCGGACTTCCATTAGGTAACCGTCATCAGCTGACTTTTAATTTGGTTTTAATGATCTTACATTAAGCCTTGCTGGTTACCATTAGCCCAAGGGTTGACACTTTCCAGTCAGCTGGTCAATTAGTTTGTTAATGAGCTCTTGTCCTATCAAAATCTCATTGGTTTGACAATAATACATGTTAATACATTAATGGGAAAAAGGAGCTAAATTCATTATTTACAGGAGCGGGAGGAAGACCTGGTTTTATCTTTAAGAGATATGGTGTAAGAAAACAAAACAAAACACTAACAAAACGTATTTTACTCTGGCTGTATCTTTGTTTTGTGCCATTGTGCCAAGAACCAAAGGCTCCACCCTTATACCTTTGTGGACCCAACATATGCTGCGTTCCAGTTACCTCGGAAGTCGGATGTCGGAGCTGGGAATGACGTTACACCCGAGTCAATGGCGTTCTACTAAACAAGATGGACACCTACTGTTAGCCATTGTTAGCTGTTGTTAACTATTGTCAGTTGCCGTTAGCTGTTGTCAGTTGGTGTTAGCTGTTGTCAGCTCTTGTTAGTTTATAACAGTATTTTACTCTTATGAACACCATAGCAACGTGTTCACATGGCAGTACAACATATACCATTTATTTAATTTCACAAAAACAAAACAGAAGTGCTTATAAATAATACATTACAAGAGCTTTCACTGTTACTCTTTACTGTTGATGCACTGCGCTGCCATCTTGGATTATGACGTTGTCGTCAAGTTGGGGTTGGTGAGGATCGTCCGACTTTTCGAGGGGTGTTCCAGGTGAATTTCCAACTCGAAGCTCTGAAATCCTGGTTTCCGAGTACAACTACAGCGCAGCATTAGAACAGAAACGAGCCCTCTGTAGTGAAGTTGGTCTTCTCTGAGTCAGAGGGTTGGGGGTTTTAGTCTGACCGTCCTTGGCAAAGACTCTTGACCCCAAACTGGCCTTGGTAGCAGAGTCAGTGGCATCTAAATGGAATAAGTGCCTTACATAACAGGCTCTGCCACCAATGTATGACCGTGGGGTAAATGGGTGAATATGACATGTCAGGGGTCTGAAGCAAGCCTTTCATAAAATACAATCCATTTATCGTTTTCAGCCCACCGGGAAAACAGAGAATCCTAGTCTTCCCTCTTCTTCAAAGAGAGAGAGAGAGAGAGAGAGAAAAAAAGCTGTCATCCGTCTTATTCAGTTTCATTAACTGCTAAATGCGTCATCAAGTTTCACAGGTACACACGCTGTCTGTTAATGAACATTGGGTTGTGAGAACTTTTAAGCTAAAATCATGCAAAAAAACAAAAAAAGAACAACAACAATGAGCTGAACTGAAACGATGTTCAAAACGCTCCATTAGCTGGAAGGGATCGACCGAGTCATGCACAAAATATATGGGGGGTTCTCGCCAAAAAAACAGCCTCTTCTCTGTTGCACATAAAAATTCAGTCCTTTGTTGTTAAAAAAAATATTGATTATGCAAGCTTCAAGCTAAAGCCTTTTTTTGCTTTTTATTCTTGCTTATTTAGTTATGAATATTTAATGTTGTTGGAGCTTTAAAGTAGTCCCTTAAAACAGTATTCACATGTGGGCTTTCTATGACCCCCTATGGTGTGATTAATCTACTTTAGGCTATGCAAATGATTAATAAAACTACATCCACAAGGATGCTTTAATGTTGCGTCCCTGTGGGGTTACAGTAACATTGGATACCCGTTATCTTTCCTCTTTAACCTCTTATCCTGATTTCTGTCTTCACAATCTCTCACATCTGATAGCCACAGATCATTACTATTATTTTGAGAGATAAGGTCTGTTTCTGGTTGTAGGCCGTGCTCCGAGTCTTCACCTCCTCAAGCAGTATCGGCCGTGTTCTCTGCTGCCATATCATCATTTTTGTCTTGTTGTGTAAATTGGATTGGAGCTCTTTTAAAGGGAGCTTTTCATGCCGCACAGTTCAGAGCTCTATCTTGATAAAGCTGTAGGCTTTTCCATAATGACCCATGGCTCAAGCGTTTGAACAAACGCCATGACAAATAGACGGGATACACTCGCAGAAATAGCAGTAATGATCTTGTTTTTCAGGGAGTTAAAGGATTATCTAATGGTATTACCGAAAACATCTGTCTGAGCATCAACTGGCGCCCGCTGCCTCGCGTCTCTGTGTTTACACTTTCCTGGCAGATGTTCAACGACCGCCGTTAGAGTGTCGTATTTTACAGGAGAGGTTTGTCCCTCGATTTTCTCTGTGGGAATCAGTCGACCATGGATTCCCGTGTCAACATTAAAGTGAGTTACATCGAAAAAGGCAAGGGAAGGGTGTCAAGATATCCAGAAAGAGGAGAGATGATTTCATCCTACTGCCCAGTGCCACATGCCAAGTGTATTTTTAGATAGGAGCATTTGTTGGGATGTTTTCTGTTATATATGCAGAAAGCAGATTACAAATATCAGATTTGTTACTATTATGAGCTCATGTGCCTTATGTTGCCTCTCTCCTCTCGTCGTCGTCATCATCACCTCTTTTCTCTTTCTATCTCTGCCTCAGTCTGTCTCCATTTGTCGAGCGAGCGCCTCTCGTGCCCTCCGTCCTTTTCTTCGACTCACGTGTTCTGTTGTCGTGCTCCCACTCAACGTTTTTACTCTTCCTCTGAACTTAAATTTATTTGGGGTTAAGTGTTTTTCTCTCCTTTTTTTACCTTACCTGAACCGGTCAGGAAATGATGGCAGCACATGTCTGTTTCTCTTCCCAGCCACTTTTGGAAGAAGCCTACTTTCCTGGGCCGATGTGCCCAGCCCCGCGCCAAAGCCCACTCAAACAGACACACAATGTCTCAGCAGGGGAGCTGGTGTTAGAAATGTAATGGAATAAAAGATGAGCTTTCAGCAGACATGGGGAATAATTCACACATGCATTCTGTGTACTGAGGGAGCTGAGCCTCTGCCCTGAGCCGGCGCATGGCCTGACTTGGTGTGCAAACGCGCCACATATGCTCATTTGAGCTGTCTGCCCACAGCGTATCAATGGCAACTTTGCAAAAACAGCGCCGCTGCACCTGTGCCCACCTCCCTGACCTGCTTGTCATTTTGTCTCCTGTGAGACCAGTCTGCTACCTCGACTATTATTAGACTTTGAATGTAAAAAAAATCTCACCAGCAGCAGTCAAACAGACAGACAACCAACTGTGGAGTGTGCCGCAACCTTCCTCTCCCACAGCAGGGAGACACGGTAACAATACCGACTTTTCTTAGAGCTGCTCTTCATTAATCCTTCCTGTCTATATATTCACCTCACCCCGGTCATTCAGGGAGAATCACTCCAGACTAAATTCATTTGAAACATTCATTTTAAACGCACAGTTGCGTAGGCAATCATGAGATTCTCAAGAGCAGAAAAACTGCTGCTTTGCCCCCCCGTTAATCCCTCCGCCCGTTTATTTTCTCCTGCTGCACAATGATTCATTCATTCACATCATTCAAATGTATGCGCACAAACATGCACAAAGGCAGTTTAGTGCGTCTGTTTGTGTTATGGCTTACAGCTAGTCGTTTTTTTTCTAAGTAAATCAACACATTTAAACAGTGTTTTTCTCTCTTTTGTGAAGTCTTTGCCTCAAATTGTGGCGCTCTTTTGTTACCGTGACTGCTCTATAATAACAGTCAAGGTAAAGCTGCCTGACAGGCTAACATTAAGAATATGTCTAGTAATGAGAAATCACCTTTCATGTCAGATTTCTTTGGCTTTTTGCACCACACTCACCTCTCTTTTTGTGTCTTAAATATTAGATCTGAAATCTCCTAAGGACTGCCAATAAAACGATGTACTCGAGTCCCAGAATAAATGCAGTAGTTAAACTTTAAACCGTCCAGGTCAGCCAAGCTTTTCATATTTTCATGCAAAACTTTAGAATATCTCTGCCCTATATACCAGAAACTTTGTCTAAAGACATTTTTTATTGAGACATCTGTTTCATTTCGAGCTTCAAGCAACAGCAGAGACGATTGTTTGAAGAAGAGCCAACTGGATCAGAGGAGCTCCAGATCTTTTGGAAACTTCTGACACTCCTCATTATATCGTAAATAGGCTCAGGAGCAGCTAAAGGGATAATCTAACCGAGCCCACACAAGTTTGGCACATCAGAATCTCTTTATTTGGGGAGATCATGCCTTAATACCGTGCTGTGGCAGAGAGGGAGAGCTAAAGGTAGACAAGATGCTCAGTGAGAGGCTCTGAACACATCAAGAGAAGCTGTCTGGGGCTGTGGTTGGTATAAAGAGAGTAAAGGGAGAAGAAGAAGAAGAAAAAACTCATAGAAGAGGTAAAGATGTGCACATTATAATGCGGAGTGACAGCTTTGAAAATAAACAGTCCCATTCTCTGAGTTATGCTGCAAAAACTATTGACTTTCAATTACTAAGCTGTTGAAATAGTTTCTAGAGATGCTCGTATTAAGAGGCTTTGCCAGGTATTTGCTGAGACTGGAACCCTCTCATTTGTATTGAGGTCTAGTCTCACCCAATTTGCATATCCATCTATTCACCATGTATTACCCTCTTTCTTTATAATCAGCAAATACCTGCTGATACCCACTGATAGAAGCACCTCTCTGACTGTTTCAGCATCAGATCTGGATTGTAGACCAGAATGTGGGAGAAGTTTGAGGCGTTGGCTTGGCCTCCAAAATCCCCAGATCTCAGTAGGGCTGGGCGATATGGCCTCAAATCAATATCACGATATATTGAGCAGTTCACCTCGATATCCATGCATGGACGATAACTACTCCACAAACTGCTCACCCCTTCCACATTAACTTTGTCTACTTTAGCTGCTACAACTTTTGAACCGTCCTCCATCTCCTCACCAGTCTGTTCTTCTTTGTGATGGTTGGATGGGGTGGAGTCATGTCACCGACGTAGGACAGGGTCTTATAGGGACATGAGTCCATAGCCTACCTACACACATCCAAAACCATCTTTTATTTATTTATTTTTTTGAAACCGGATATACCGATATGGGCAAAATGACATTAGTTATTGTCTTAAATTTCGGTATCTGTAAATTTTTGGTTTATCGTCCCACCCTAGTGGACCTCTACTGTTTGTACCGAGGTCTAGTCTCACCCAATTTGCATAACCACCCATTCACCATGCATAAACCTCTTTCTTTATAATCATCAAATACCTGGTGATGCCCGCTGATACATAAAACAGACAGTTTTAGCATCAGATCTGGAGAAGTCTGAGGTGTTTGCTTGGCCTCCAAAAACCCCAGGTCTCAGTCTAACCAAGCATCTGTATGAGCTGGTCAACTCGAGGTCTAGCGGTTTATAGATCCAGTTAGGTCAAGACAGGGGATCCATCATTATAATAATGGACAGGTTCTCATGGCTGACCTAGTACATCCTACAGAACTGAAATAACATGCTAGGAGTGCTTAATGTGTGACGAGACACACAGTGTATCACACAAATGTTACCCTGAGGAGGCTGGTATTCTCACATGCACCGAGGTGGAGGCTGGGAAAAATACAGGATAGCTTCACAATCCATCAGCATTGACACTTTCACCATCCTGCTCGGCAATTTAGAGGCACAAAACGATTTTGCATGTATTTGAAGTATGAGAGAAAACTCAGGGCCACTGGAGGAAACCCACACACCCACAGGGAGGACATGCAAACTTAGTATAGAAAGAGCTTCAGTCGAAGATTAGAAGCAGAACTGTCTCTTGTGAGAGGACAGAGCTATCTTACCACCGGACTATTCTGCTGCCTGAATCACCTGCGATTGGTAGTTGCCCGTTTGCCCTGTTACAGCTTCACATAACTTAATAACAGATGGCTAATATTCCAGAGGTACCATAAAAGTAGCGTAACATCCATCATTAACATCAGAGGATGGAAATCTCTAAAAGCAGGCAAGCTTGGGAGAAGCACAGCACACATTTTCTTGCCCATTTTTCACTTTTCTCGCAAAGTTACTGCAGAACAAAATCAATTAGAGGGAAGAAAAGTGAATGTGAAATTAGAGAATTATATTAAACCACCAGATGTAGCAGATGACTGTGAAAGGTTCAGTTATTCCCAGTGTTTTTGGCTTGACGGCAGCCACCCTCACTTGCCAAGCAACGGCATAAACGCATGACAGGCAGCATTAATGCAGTTTGTGAGAGTAAGTCGTTCTTTGTTAGCGGCTTGATTGCACTCAGAACATCAGGTAAGGGGTTGTTTCTGACTTTTCCTGCGGGAACGTATCAGCTGCATTACCATCCTCGATAAAACTAAGACACTTAGCTGCTTTTCCATAACAGCAGAGATGAAATGGAATATTTTAGAGTCCAACCAAAATCAAAGCCACAAAAAGCGATTGCAACCATTTAAACGGCACAGCAGAAACTGTTGCTTGGAGCCAATTTAATATTGAGAGTTTTAGGAGTTTGTCATGCTGGTTTTAATAATTTGTTTGTTACTATTCCATTCGGTGTCCAAATATTTGTGCTCTTTGGTCTGTTTCATCCGCAAGAAGCTGATTTGTCATAATAGCTGACAATTTAAGTCCCAGCTAGTCACCAGTAATGATTATGTTGATGGCTCAGAGTGAGATAAATCATGACTTGCAGTTTTATTAATTCGTCAAACCTCTTACGATGACAAAGTCTCGGCCTATGCATCATCAGCATTGCTACCTTTTCTATAAATGCTTGTCAGAGTATGTTACATAATGCTTTAAATGCTGTAAGTCTAACGCATTGATATAGAGTTCAGTTTTGTTGTTAAAGTCAAGGACTGACATTTTCCAGGCATGAATGTTTGAGATATATAAATGTGAAGCACCATTATTTAAAATTCAGTCACCTCGCTTAAGGAACAGAAAATAAGCTGCCAACTGAAGTGATCCTCGGAGTGAACCTTATTTACACACTTTTCATAAAATCGGTTTAATTTTGCCTGTAAAATAATTAGTAGAGATAATGTCATCGATGGAAATGTCTGTCTTTGATATTCAGAAAGTTTAATATTTAAACTAGAGATGCAAGATTTTTGAGCTATTGAATTTAATCAATTATAACCTGCCCTGGAGGTGAAGTGAGCACAGATGGATTTTTGCTGATATTGTACATTTTGTCTTTTTTACTTCAACAAAAAAATACTAAATCTATTTTCTTAACTTGTTATTGAAATACTGTTTTTCCGCCTAATTAGGAAAGTTTTCTCAAGAACTTCAAATTCTGCATCTTAGGAAGTTTTTAAAGAACTAACCACAGCCTTTCTTTATTTACGTAATAATAACCACTGATAAGTGTTTTCAAAAGCAAGAAAATACGTCTGAGTGTCAGTGCGAAAATGACCTTCTACTACTTCCCTCATCCCCAATATCTCAGCCTTGAATAAATCACAATGCAGAGAGAAAGTGGGAGCCTGTTAAAACCAAGTCCTGCAATTTTCATCAACAGCCGAGTGTCATCTGCAAAGAGTTGACTTTTGAGCGCTGATGGGATGTTTCAAGGCAGGGGGGAGTTTTCTATTCTCTTTGTCTCGCGCAGTGTTGAAGCTGCAAAGCGCCGAAGCCAACAAGTTTCTCTTTTATGCAGACATGAGAAGAAATTCCTGTCTAAGTCAGAAAAGTTTGTCATCTCCGGAGAATGGGACCAGACAGATTAATCTGCTTTTAGAAGAACAGTAGCGGAGGGGAGACGGATGCTATTAATACGAAAGGTATCAGCTGCTTCACCTGCTGATGAAAAGTGATACAATCAGCTGGCACTGAACGCACTCATGCTGCGCTATAACCCACCAGAACTATATAGCACATCCTGTTCCTTTCTTGTGTTTGCGGCACATGAACGCCAAAGCTGTGATTTTTTTTTTTTTCTATAACAGAGATTCTAATCAGTCGTCAATTTCTCACACATATTGAGCTGTATGCTAAAGAGCTAATTAACAAGGAATGTTATGGAGCTCACAAACTTCCCTGACATCTTAATTAGATCTTAATGACATTTCAGTTGGAATGGGTTGAACTGAGCGAGCACTATGAGATGAGGAGGAACCGGTGCTGATATACAGGGGGGGGAAACGAGAAGACGACTGATAGGGGGAGTGAGCGTAAGCAGGAAACGAGAGAGTTTGTGGAGATGGAGAGGGGGAATAAATGGAAATGAGGAGGACATTTGCGCTGCATGTGTATACACCAGTCATATAGTGTGTCTTCTGTGAGATAACGTGTGTTAGAAATAGGATTTGATTAACACTGAGACACTTTTTTTTTTTACCCTGCCTTCTTTCTTCTCCTCCCTCCCGGAGGAATACGAAACTATACATTCCCCAGTAATTACTCGACCCTCTCCCAGTGGTATTGCATCTCTTATGGGGCTGCTTAATCCCATTCTTAGCATCTATTAGCATGAAATTTCACTGTAGTCACTGTAGAAATAACTAAATATGCACTTGCACTGCCAGTGAAGAAGTCATGATAATGGTATTTCTTGCAGATAGATGGCTGATACGACACAAACTCTTAAGTGGGGCTGCTGTGTTTTGAATTGCAGATGGTTTTGCATCGGGCTGCAGCGGTTCCAGGGAATACTCGTTTTATTTGAGTAGGAGGGGCTGTGTTATTTTTAGCAGAAAGGTTGATGCACCTTTATGCAACTCCAAACAAAGTCAGCGGACTGCAGTGGAGGAACAATAGGCTGCAGCAAAGAAGCAAATTAGTGCTTGACTCCTCCAACTTCAAACCACCCGTGCGATTATATCACTTTTAGTACAGCGTAATTACCTTCCTGCCGTCGACTGTGAACGGGCGTGTAAGCAGTACAAAGAGACACTCTGCGACACCTTGTAAGCAGAGGGGGTAATTGATTAGAATCTCCAAAGGTAAATGTTTATTTTATCGCCCTGTCTGTGTTTTTCCCGGGCTCAGCTGGCCCGCGCTGCCCTTCACTCGAGAGGAGCCATTAGAGGAGAAGGGGGGACAGGGAAATAGGGAGAGACAGCACAGAAAACTAGCGGACGATCATGAGGAGCCCAGAGAGAGCGCAAACTGGAGATTCCATCAGAGAAAATGAGGAAGGAAAGGCTAAACAGAAACTTTGTGTGAAGCCCCTTGTGAGGAGCAGAGCGAGAAATAAACCGAGTGGATGTGGGTTGAAAGATTGGGCAGCAGGAGACACATTACTGAGAATGTGCTGGTTGCTGCTGATGCTGTTCTGTGTGCAGCCATGTCTGTTTATCACTTCCCTCTTCTCCCCAAGCCCTCTGTCTCATCTTTATTCTCCCCCTTATGTCTAGCCTAAATCTGTCAGAATACAGCCACAAATACCTGGCAACAACCAACATTTGCAACCACCCCCTCGTCTCCCCATCTTTCCTCCCCCTGCAATGCCTCGAGCTTCTGTTCATTTTCACTTCCTCCCTGTTACTCTGAGACTTTATTCATTTCACTTAGCCTTTATGGGTTTATTTAGCATTTTATTCACCTATAAAGGGCAATAAAGGAAAGCGGTTGTATTTCTCTCGTGCGTCGGCAATCCATTTGAACAGATCTGGGTCTGCGGATGCTTTGTAATTTAGTGATTTGCCTTTCATGATGGACGGGGATTTTGTTTCCTATTAAATACACAAAGAGGAGTGTTTGGCCCACATGGTCAGCGCTTCACTCTCACAGCCTACTTGAGGCACAAAGAATAGGATTTGAATAGTTCATTCTTTCTGCTGTAAAGGTAGTTCCTGCTGTTTCCAGGCAGATGTTCTGTAAACTCAGACTCGAGAAAGACCCACCTCTGGTCTGAGGCTGCGCTGACTCATGACCCGTTAACCCCCGTCTGGCACGACTTTAAGTAACCAGACACCTTGTGCTACACTCGGCCTGTGTGTAGTGATCATGAAGAGCCAAAGAATAGCAGTGTGTCGCTCTGATACACTCTGAGTCAGTCATTGACTGACATAGCTGTCAGATACAATATAGTGTACTCTATCTGCAGCGAGTGGATAGGCATTGATCCCATTCAGCTCTCTCATAATCCCCATGTGCCTGGCATGCCATGTGTATTGATCTCATGGTAAGGAACGACAGGATGTGCATATGGTATGTGACGACGCTGTTTAGCATCTTCATGTGTGTGTGTTTCATTGCAGGTTCACAGAGGCAGACACCATCGTAATGGGGGACGTGACATACGGGGCCTGCTGCGTGGATGACTTCACGGCCAGAGCTCTGGGAGCTGACTTCATGGTGCACTATGGACACAGCTGTCTCAGTGAGTCCTACATGTGTACACGCAGATGTCATATTAGTTTGGCTTTGTAGATTTTCCAAAACCACTGGATTGTAGGTGGGGGTTCTGCAGCGTAGTGAGGGTTTGCCAAATGTGATATGTCTCTGCTGTTCGAACACAAATGAGACTATCAGCAGCAAAATAACTGGGAATGACTTTATTGGATTCAGGATTTTTTTTCAATGGGACAATATGCATTAATGAACATTTACATGTAAATGCATGGGATTATAGCCAAGCGGCTAATTTCCACCCCTAGTCCCATTAGCAGGTTGGTGTCAATACATAAAACCTAAAAACAAACATCAATAATGGAAGTGAAACACACAGAGCACATCAGCAACAATATAGATGACATACAAACCTGTTGTAGTTTTTAATGTCTGCTATAGCAGAGCCAGTATAGGTCCACTGTAGTGAGCCTTTGTTGTCTTTTCTTCTGCAAATATATTCACAGTGAGTCACACGTTTTACTGTGAAAAGACAAGGTGATTTTTTTAGTCAGGTAAATCTACTTTTGCAAGGATAAGACAAAATCGGCAACAGTGTAAAGCTTACCACTTTATCCACTAGGGGCGCCAAAATCAACACAGACAAGAAGTTCCACAGGAGCTTTAAATTAAAATATGTCAAACACTGGAACAAAAGATATTTACATTAAAAAAAAGAAGGAGCTTTGAGATGTTTACCATCATCTCAGAATTTAGAGGAATCAGAATCTCGTTATCGTCCCAAAAGGGAAATTAGTGTTGCAGCAGAAAGATAGGGTACACATTGATAATACAGCAAGAATAGACCCGATTAAAAGTCTGAAAGTCAAACATAATAAAAGAAAAAAACAACATAATATAGGAAACACCAGACATGTTCACAAGATCACCAAAAATGTTCAATTCAGAGTGAATACTAAAACTGGAAAATAACCGCCCCATATTGTGAGAAGTGAAAAGTGTGGATGTGCAAAAAAAAGCAATAGCAGTGCAAAGAAGAACGTGGGAAACCTAAGGCTGAATTTCCATTAAGTTAAAAAAAATTGCACTGGAGATAAATGAGACCTGGAGTCTCTTAGTCGTCCTCATGGGAGCCCTAAAACAAAGGCCTAAGGGCAAAAGATAAAGCTTCTTTTAACAACACTTAAAGTTGGCCAGTATGGAGTTACACGGTTATAATATGTGCAGAGTGTGCTTTGGCATCGTCTTGCTTAAAAATGCTTTGTCTGACTGGCGGCATGTGTTGCTCCAAACCTGTTTGATGCTTGTTTTTGGATCAAGCCACTCAAGAAGCAGCAGTTTGGGTCCCTTCAGTTTTTAAACCTCCTGATGTTGCTGTGTGGTTTGCCCATTTCTGTCCCTCTGCATGCTTATAACACCCTCAGGAGCTTCTGAAGAAAGACAGCTGATTGATAAAAAAGTTAGAGAACAGACAGACAGACTGACTGCTGGATGGAGCTATCGATCAACAGAAAGCCTAACTAGTCAGCGCATCCTGCTAACTCCAGTACTGAAGCACATATTAGACCTTTGGAGCCCGGACATCACATTTAGCCAAGAAGATCAATGGGGAACATGCATTAGAGCTGTCCTTTTGAAAACCTCATGCAGTTCTCCGGGACCTTCAGCCTCACCCCTGCTGTCTGTCTCTTACAGAACATGGGAGGAAATGCTAAATCAATATTTTTGATATATCCCTGCCAGAACAGGCTCCCCTCTCCCAAATACCAGCAATGACCAACAGAATTTCAATACAGCGAAAAGCTCTTTCTGTTCGCCTCGTATTGTTTGTCTTTTGTGTGAGTGAACATTCATTATCTGATAGTCATGGAGGAGTTGTGTGCATGCATGTTTGTTTGCAGAGGAGATGTGTGCATGTCTCCGTGGGCTCATAAGAACCCCATAAAGTGAAAAATAAAGGTACCGAAGATCAGTTATCGGTTGGTTATGAGGTCTATTTGAAGGGATTTTTCAAACAAATTGGGTTGAACCACAGATTATAAAACAATCTGTGTGTGATGGTGCCAGTATGTATGTGTTCCTGACCTTCATCACTCAATCATGAGAACGTCGTGTGCTTTCAAAGATGTGGTGTGCCTGTGGGAGATTAAAAAGGCTGATTTCTGACTCACTCACAGAAAAAAAAAAGAGAAAAGCTGTGTCCTGTGCTGCTTTATTCTCCTTTCTTTGTCTCTGAGGGATCTGCTTTTGAATACCAGTGCCATCACTTCTTTTAAACTCATAAAGCAACCCCATCGAGTGCAAGACAATATGACCAACACCATAAAGCCCTTGTGGTGCGCGCTTTGAAAGATTTAATGGTATTTGCTGGCATGAGGGATGTGAATTGAATTCAACCTTGTCGAGGTTAAAGAACATGTTTGTCACTGAAGGTGTCAGCAGAAAATCAACAATGAAAAGGAAGCGAGTGGGCGAAGAGAGAGAGAGAGATATGAACGTAATAAATTTGAACTTTTATTTATATTGCTCTAATTTTACTGCCGCTACCTAAGAAATCAAAAAGTAAAACTGGCAAGACATGGCAGCCTTGCTCTCATAATGCCAGGCCAGCTGCTATAGCTCGAAGTGTCACATAACAAGTAGGTCCTTACTATTTTGAAGCTGTGAGTCATTATCAAACAGCTTTGATGAGCAAAATGTACTCTCGGTGCTCAGAGTTTAGTTGCAGCTTGTTTTACAAATGTAACCAGCGTGATGCTCGGTTTGAAGTGGCTGTTAATTTAGCAGAGCGAATCCATCAACATGGAGGATTAAATATGATATATCAAACGCCGGTGTCACCGCATACAAAAGCAACCGCATCCTTATCTCATACTCAAAGATGAGGGTCTCTTAGATTATTATAGTTAATTATCAGGCTTTCTCACTTCAGCCAGCTGCGTAAAATACAGGATTCTGATTGGTCCAACCCATTCAAGAGGGTAATTTATTCTGAAGAGCAAGAGCAACGGCAGGGACAACCAGATCACAAAAGGCATAAATTAACTTTATCTGGCTCCCTTGCTCACCCCTCTCTATGGTGGAGCTCTCTAAGCTGCTCGTCTCCTTTAAAGGGGATCCTTTACAGATATATACGACTCAGTCCAAATCAACGAAAACCAAATTAATTTGTATTCAGGTATTTAAACATTAAATCAAACACACTTACTAATTTTTTGAGAGGCCACTGGGCGCAGACCTCCACTGTCAGGACCCACCTCCACTGTGAGGACCAGAGTTGACGTTTTTTTCTCATGCACTTGTTTGTTTAAAGTGGTCATCCTGTTTTGTGTTGTGTCTTTGTTGAACACATTCATACACAAAAAATCATATTACACAACATTTTATATATATAAAATAAAGCCCCAAGAAATACAAGAAATAAAATATATTCACACAAGACAAAATAATATGTACTTCCTGGTCTAATCGCTTTTAATTTGAAAGGCTTTGAATCAACTCAGGCGTTACAAAAATAATAATAATAAAAATAAAAATAAATAAATAATAATAATAATAATAAATACTCTGAATATATTTGCTTTTAATTTGAAAGGCTTTGAATCAATTTGAGTGTCAAAAAATAAATAAATGAATAAAATTAAATTAAAAAATAAATAAAAACAAAAACATACTCCCAATATATTTGCTTTTAATTTGAAAGGCTTTGACTCAACTTGGCCTTAAAAAAATAAAAAAAATGAAAATAAAAATAAAAAACAAACATACTCCCAATATATTTGCTTTTATTTTGAAAGGCTTCAAACTAATACCGACTTTTTAACGAGACAGTGCACCTTTAAAGAATTTCTTCAATTTTAATTTAAGCCCTCTAAAAAACAAACACAAACAAAGGACCACAGAGACTGTTTTGGACACTTTACTTAATTTACACTTTTTCCTGTTTGTTGTTCACTTTCCTTGCCTAGACTAAATCTAAAATAGATGTCACAACTCTCTGCTCCATTAGGCTCTAGACGCAGCTCTGTTGTTTTTCGGTTCTTCCTTACCTGAAGTAATGATGCTGTAGTTTTGTATAGAATTGACCACAGTCACAACCCTGACTGAACCTGTTTATACATATTGATCTGTGAGTAAGCCGGACATTTCTTAGCCCCGCTTGTTATGGATGTGTCTTTTCGTTTACGTGGACGGTAAGAAGCGGCTTTTTCGGTGTGACCTCACTGCCATATCACATAGATGTATAGAAGCACTGATGGTGCGAGTGAGTCCTGTCCATCTCATTGACTGCGTCTCTGATTGCAGCGCCTGAGTGCTCTCAGGCTACCATGTTAATGCGAACACAGATCGATGTCACTCTTCTTTGCCCTTTAGGTTTAGCGAGTGTCCATAAACAAGCAACAGACAGCTGTTAGTCTTTTTTACTCCGCTCCTCCGACCCTTTTTAGCCTCATGATATATTTAACTCCTCGGTTTTTTTCCGCTCGACACGCAGCCTGAAGCAAAGCCCACCTTTTCAAACCCTCTATCCATCTCCTGCTCCTTCCCCTCTGCTGAGATATAAGCCCATTCATCACTTCTGGTGCCAGTTAATTGACAAGCCATCTCTTCAAACCCTCAAACACACATCCACACACATTCACAGTATCCTATTACTTTTTCCACTCCTCCTCACATCCATGACCTATCCTTTAGAATTTATATACTTCATTATTAAATCACCAATCCACACCACCATATTGAATTGCAGTGTTTCCCAGCCTGCTTTAATGGAAATGCATCATTTCTTTCTCCCGGTTTCCCGACTTCAATCTCTTCTAAAGACCTGTCTTTCAGCTCCTCCTCAGCTCTATTCACCGTCCTTTTTTCAGGTGTCACCCCCTCTATTTGTCTCTCTTACTGCTTCTTTAATCTGGGTCATCAAGCGAGCTGCGAATGCTCATTCCCACTATGATGGACCATTTGTTTGATCACAAGTGTAACAAACCTCTCCTTGCTCTTGATCTGCAAATTGAATGTAACACAAGAGGATGACTAATTATAATGATCAACACAAAGGATAATCCGTCTTTCTTATCCCTGCCCTTTCCCCCCTTTTCGCCTGTTTTCTTGGACCCTCGCCCACTTTTTCAGCATCAAACTCGGCACGTATCTAGCTCCGTCTTGTGGGCCGCGGGTGCGAGGGAAATGGCCTGTGAAATTAATGGCATTAATGGTAATCGCATGTGTCCCTCTCCTTCCCCTAAATAATTGAGGTCTTTGCATCAGTTCCCCGAGCATGTGCAGGAGATTCATGCCGCGTGGGTTTCACTTAGATCGCAGGGTGGGCGCCTAATGCAAGCTATAGTGTGCATGCAGTGTGTCTCCATATAGTGCCGAACATGTGCTGCGTGTTAATGTTCCAGGCAGCATCAATAGTGTATATGACACAAGCTAACCTGACATAACAGATTGAATTATTCATCCGTCTTTCTCTTTTTGTCTCCCTGCAGTCCCCATAGATTCCACGGCAGGTATAAAGATGCTTTATGTGTTCGTGGACATCCAGATGGATAATGGACACTTCCTGGACACGGTCAAGTTCAACTTCCCTCCTGGACAATCTCTGGCTCTCGTCAGCACTATTCAGTTTGTGGCAGCACTGCAGGTGATTAAGAACTGGCTCTGTCTGAATTTGTGTGAGTGTGTGTGAGATTGATTTTGTGTGTGGAGACTTTTTTGTGTCCGAAAACGCTGACGTGGAGCGATTCTGTCTCTGTTCCTGAATAGTTTTTGTCACTTTAGTGTATTTTCTGCCTCTCTGAAGTATTTTTATAGGTACAGTATAGGACCACACAGACCAAAAAAAACACACAACACATCTATATATATATATATTTCTGTACAGTGTGCTTTTCCTGGCTTTTATGAACAAGCTGGCTCTCCACACTTAAGCTCAGTTCAAGTGTGGGCTTGAGGAACCCAGCAGTGGTTATTTTGGATTTGAAAGGTGGAGTGAACCGGGAAGGCCTCTGGGTTCAGCGTCGTGCTTATCCCTGCTCTTTACATAAGCAGTGGCTGCAGCTATAGGATGAAGGTCGAACACATCCCTCCATGTTCTATAGCCTGTTTCATTTGCTGTGTTGAACCATCAGCACTCAGGGCCTTCCGCTAATGTAACAGCTGTTATTTTTAAACCTCGCTCTGCAGGCGGGTCATGTTTAATGTTTGGGTGTTTGTTTGCATTGTGTACCGCGCAGCATTTCCATCATGTCTTACGGTGTGTGGGCATGTTGAGGTCACAGAGTATGGGCGGGAGAAGCTGGGAGTTCACCCTTATTCCCTGCGGACTCTCTTAAAATTAGCCTTAAACCGTTCAATTTATCCTTCCACCTCTGACACAACTGTACTCTGTTTCATGTTGTTTTATTTTTCAGCTGTAATTGTTCGCTCTCTCATCTTCTCGCTTTGTTTGAAGTAGTGTAGGTGTTCAGAGGAGTTGATTTTCTTGGTCTTGAAAGCACCCTTTTAGCAGGAATATTGATTTCCTTGTTTATTTTGTATAATAAAGTCTGCATTTTTCTATGATTTTGTAGTACGACTTGACGTTTGGTTAATGGTTTTTACTGCCAGTGCCTTTCTAAATTTTATATTAATGTATTTCTCAGGACAGAAGTAACAGTAGGCGCAAAACTTTCTTTTTTGAGAAGTTGCAAGAGCTCTTAGTTAAGCTGCGATAGTTTTTGACTTGCAGGGGGTACTGGCAGAGAACACCTTTCCCTTCTTCTCCATCCTCTTTCTCTCTGTATTATTTACTTTGATTCTTCATGTCCCATTAGAGTCACTAACACACATCTTTTCAGGGAGTCCCTGAGCTCCATCATGCCGTAGATTCCTCTGGATCGCTGCAGCAGACATTTTGGACCCCCTCTCTAAACCCAATACAGTCGCGGTAGAAGACTGTCTAACATGAGTCTGGTTCTGCTCAACATTTCTACCTGTTAAAGGAAGTTTTCCTCTCTCCTGTTACTTGCTAATTGCTGTCTTATCTCTTCTTTACATCAGGTCTTTGTGTCATGGTCTAGACCAGCTTTTTTTGTGAAGCCTCTTTGAATAACACTTGTTGAAGATCAGATATATAGATTGATTGACAGGATCCTGACTGGAAGATTTCATACTATCTTTCAAGACCCATTTACAGTTTTCCTCCATTTCATACACACAAAGAATGACGTGTGTCTCAACAACATGACTCCAGATTAGGGCCGTCACAGTATCAGGTTTTCACCTCATGATTATTGTCCGTATGAAATATCATCATAATGACAATCGTGCAATATTTATGAAGAATATAGGATTTAAAATGACAAAGCAGCAAGTCATATTGAGAAAATGCAAAAAAGTGCAGAATAATATAATATAATATACATCTTCATGAATATTACATTAGCATAGATTTTACCAATGAAGAGTGTTTATTTACATGTTATTCTCTATTTGAATATATATAAACTATCCACATCACTGACTGTGTCACTGAAACTCTATTAGATAAGACCTTTTTAGAGAAGCCTCATAAGACTGCTGTTTGTCCTGTGTTATTTTTGATTTTTTTTTCTGCCCTGTTTTAAAACTGTGCTTTTATTTTGAAATGTGGACTACTTTCAGTTGCTTGTAAGTAACACAGCTAAATGGAAACAGACAAAAGAACATTAAGAAAGTAAAAATGCTGGATTACCTAAAGAGTTACAAGCCCTGACATTGCATTTAGATAAATAAAAAAATCTAGAAATTTCTGTTTTTAACACAATTTATTCAAATAGTCAGAGAGCTGCTTCAAACTCGTCATCTTTTTTCCTATCCTCAATTTTATGATGTGTGTCAACATAGAGGACCTTATATATGAGTCACGGTGGTACCATTTGCTTATTTTTGCATCATCCCTCCTCCATACCGCTCAACTATATGCACACTGTCTACGTCGGTGCTACTTAATTATCATTCTAAATCACAGCTCTGCAAATCCCTCTACACAGATTGCATCCTTTAGCACACTTAGTTCACCTGAAAGCACTGGCCTTCAAAACTGCAAACACCCTGAATACTAATTAGTCTCACTCATAAAGCACCCGTGCAAACTCACAACACTACCGTTAGAAGTCAGAGGATAAAAGAGGCCTAATGTGACCTACAGAGAGGCGGGGAGATGGAGCAGCAACATCACAGCTAATGTAAATAAGGTCCCGTGGTCCAGGATCAGAGGCAGGATTCAGACTGATCTGCGTCACAGTCCTTTTTCATTTGTCAGTTTAGATGAACTACATTATTACTGTATTACAGAATAGTGGTATTACAGTGAACATGTCAGTTTCTACATTTTTAGTATCTGTTCACTTGTTTATTTCTGGGTTTTCAGTCTTCAATGTATCATTTATGGTGAAAATTTTATGTTAAAAATGTTCCAAGAATTGAAAATGAGGATCTGAAGATTATCACTGTTGTTCCAGATGGTCTTGTTTGATTTTGGTTACCATTAAAAAGGCATAAATATGAATCCCAGTATGAAAAAAAACTCGTTAAAGGAGCTTTAAAATGGATAACATATGTATAGTGCATACAGGCTACTGTTTATGCCATAATATGACAAAAATAACAACACTATGAAGCCACTACTGACATGACCACCTTTAATTTGATGCTTCAAAAGCATTTCAAAGCTTTGTGAGGACATGATTTTGATTGCTTTCTGCTTTTGTCACTTTTTTGCAGGAGATTTGTGAAGTTTTTGAAGTGAAGTCTTTTCAGTTTGTGTTCAGAGTTTTGAGAAATTAAGCCGCAGCTCCTGGAAAAGTGTTTACACTTCGGGAAGGCTGTAAGACTGCAGATTATTTGAGGAAAAGCTGCTGACCTTTCTTCACACTTTGCATTATTGCTCTCTGTTCGTCTGCCATCTTTAAGTGTGTCTATAAGCACGTTGCTTGTATTTCCTCACCATTTTCCTCTTCAATTTTTTAGATTTAAAGCATTTTGTTTTGAGCAGTTTTCTGTCAATTATTAATACTGTTGTTGGGATTTTCACTATCACTACATGTTCTCTTGTTTCAGCTGTAGCTTAAAAATGTAAAGCAAAACAAACCTTTAAATGTTGAAGTACCAAGAGTTGATCATCTTAAATCAGTGGACTATTGTCACTGATTGTCACTGTTGTTTCCCTCAAAATTACAGGCACTAATTGGCCAAAATATAATTAGATTAATAGCCAAACTGGAAGCATTTCAGGCTTGGCACATGAAGATCTGTGTTAACAAGCAGGACATGAAAGCTTAATTTACAGCCATACATGAACCCTAATTACACAAGTACGAGGTTTCAATACTTACTTTAATCAGATGACCGTGTATCTCCACTTCACTAGCCAAAGCTACACAAACAGACCGCGCTTAGCCTCCGATTCTCATGCCTGTTTACACACCACGTCATCCCACTCACAAACTTTCCTTGTTCATTAGCAAAAACCAGCCAAAGGGCTAACAGACACATAAAGAGTGGTCTCAGTTAAACTTATCTCATTGTCACTGAATTCCTGTGTCAGTAATCACTGCGTATTTCTATTATGGCCCGACCGATATGGATTTTTTTGGGCTGATGCCGATACTGATTATTAGGGTGGAAAAAAATCAGATTACCAATTAATCTGCCAATTTTTTTAGAATTTTTATGAAGTTATAACAATTATATATATGTACTGTAGATATACTGTAGGCTACTGCTCTTCACGCCAACAGGAAGACTGACTGATCAAACTCGGACAAGGAAAGCATTTTCAACCCCCCACCCCCCCACCGATCGCTGCCTCCGTCTCCGAGAAGTAGCTTGATCATGTGTACTGTTGTTTATTCTACCGTTACTGGCACGGCTAACAGTGTAGAAAGGCTAATAGTCACTCTGCTGTGCTGTGACATAGTTAGCGGATGAAGATTGTCATGAGGTCGCTGCGCCATCTACAGGATAAGTTGGGGAACTTTTCAAATGGCCAAACATTTTCGAAGTCAAACCAAATCTTATTCTCCGCATTTGATTTCTGAAAAAATTGGCGAGTTTTGGCCGATTACCGTTTAGTCTCAAACAGACTAAAATGAGTTGGGCCCTAATTTCTATTATCGATCACTATGAGAGGTCTATTTCACCTTTAGGCTTTAGCTGTCCACTTTTCTTTCATATGTCTTCTTCATAAACTTCCCTCTGAACTATATCTGACCTGCTGTTAATCAGCCCCAGAAAATGAAAGGTGTCACCACCCCTTTTTGCTGGTCTTAGTTCACGGTCTGTGTTTTGCTATAAACATCTAATAGTGTCATGAATGGCCTTTGGGAATAACTATTAACACTCTGCCACGGAGCTATCTTTTTGTCAAGCAATTCCAAACCCCAGGGCTGTAGAAAACAGGGGTTGATGATGAACTTGTCAAAACAAACAAATCACTAAGTGTCTCTCCTCCTCCCCTCTCCTCCTCCCTCTGTGCCGCAGGCCGTGAGCGCAGCTTTGAAGCCGGAGTATGATATGCTGGTCCCGCAGTGTCGTCCTCTGTCACCAGGAGAGATTTTGGGCTGCACCTCCCCTCGCTTGGACCGTCATGTTGACGCCATAATGTAAGAAACCATCCGCCTACTGTCTGCCCCCACACTGCTCTATCCGTCTCCCCTTTTAGCCGGCACCATAATTACCCCTGCTACTGCCGTTGCTATTCATATGACTCAGGTTATAATCAGTATGACATCACCACAGTCACAGCAGACATCGCTATCGTAGCTAGTGTATGTGTGCCAGACTTGTATTAGACCCAGCCGGAAACAGCCAGGCACAGAAATAGAGCAGCAAGGCTGAAAATACCTTTAATGCTCCGGAAGCTTTGAATTGTGTAAAACCAGACAGTCAAACCACTTTAAAAACCAAACAACACATCCGCAAACACTCACCAAATCTCCAAGTTTGAAGCGGGGATCTATTTGGTATGTTTGACAGCAGGAGTGCTCCTTCAAAAAGCTCAAAAGTCAACCAGATGTTGGATTGTTATCCACACTCCTGAAGTTTGAGAGCGTGAAATGACAGCACCTGGGTTGAATGTCGGGTATGTGAGATCATTCCTGTTGCACCCTGTCTAAGAGTTTGAGAACTTAAGCATTTGAATCATCCAAACAAAGACTGCCAAGGGTCAAAGGTCAGAGGATCAGCTAGGTTTCCCGTAAAGGTAGTCAGAGCAAACAAAGAGGGCAGCATCAGCCTCATCCTGGGGGCCTTAAAGCTGAAGCTGTTAGTTTAGATTAGTTATCAGCTAAACACTAAAAAACAGTAACACCTTTTATTAAGGTCCCTGAAATAAACACTATAGTAAGAAACTAGTATTAAGCATTAATTAACTGTTAATAAACACTTATAAGATGCTTATAAACATGAATGTAAGTAAACGTTTATAATATTCAACATCTTTATTATTGCTTCTAAGTCACTTGTAGATAATCATTAGACACTTGTTAACAGTGTTTGCCCCTGTCATTAACATCAATACCTGTTTATTGATATGAAATAGCATCTTTATAGATAAATGAAGGAACGTATTTATTCTGAGGCATCTGTTCAGACGTGTTAAGTCAGTGTCTTTGTGTGATTTTGTGCTCACTGCAGAGGAGCATTGTTTGCTGTTAATAAGAGCATAATAAGAGAGTCAGTAAACATGAGATGGCACTGATCTGAGGCTTTTATCGTCTTATTCATATTATATAACATATACTCAAAGTTATTAAATGGTCCTTAAATTGTTAAGATTCCAGTGAGTGCTTAAAGAGGAGCTTCCACCAGTGATTAATATTATATATGGTTTTAGTAAAAGCTCATCCAGTTATATTAAATTTAATTAAATTAACATCTTATTGGATTTTAAAAGCCGTCTCTATGCAGTAATTGGTGATAAGTTCCCTGGAAGTGTGTAACAAGCTGATAAAAATGTGTTCATTGAACTTTTATAACGTTTCATTCATGTTAATCAAGTCTGATTGATATTAAGAAATACCCTATTAATGTTTATGTCAGGTACATTAAGTGTTGAGTTTGTAATGAGAGACATTTAAAAGCAACAGTAAATTTGTTAATTATGCTTTTATTTACAGTTAATTTACTGACACTTAAAAAGCAACTTTTAAGACCTTAAAAGTGGCTTATTAACAATTAATGCTAATTACAAGGACGTTGATATAACGTTTTACTATGGGGGTGTGTGTGTATGAAGTGGTGCGAGTCCTCTGATTGGTGTTCAGGGCTTGGCGATATGTCCTCAAATCAATATCACAATATATTGTTCACCTTGATAATGATAAATGGACAATAACTACTCCACAAGCTGCTCACCCCCTCCCACATTAACTCCGTCTACTTCAACCACTACAACTTTTGAACTGTCCTCCATCTCCTCACCTGTCTTTCCCTCTTTGTTACGGACTAGATGGAGTGGAGTCACGTCTCTGCTGTAGGACAGCGTCTTAAAGGGACATGAGACCATAGCCTACCTACACACATCCAAAAACAACTGATTTATTTTTTTGACACCGAATATACCGATATGGGCAAAATGATGTTGGTTATTGTCATAAATTTCAGTATCGGTAAATTTTCAGTTTATCGCCCAGCCCTAGTTTAACCCTAACTTAGACCTCCATGTTTGGCAAGATTCAGACTGTGATCCTAAAAGCATAAAAAGTCTGATCTTTTTTATAATTCCTCTGCAGTTGTTGATAGTTACACCAATTGTTATTTTTAATTATCTCTGAAAGAACCCGCACTGATGAAGATTCTGTCCTCAACTAACTTCAACTAATGTTCAGCAGCACAGTGCCCACACTGACGCGGTCATGGTTAGAATCGGTAAACTGCGCCACCATTAGTCTTTCAAGTCCTTTTCTTTTTACTTCCCTCCTTATTTCCTACAGGGATGATAAATCCAAGGGGGGAGCAGCATGAGTCCTGAAAGACTTTTTTATTCAGTCTTTGAATTCACATCAATATAAATGCAGTGCAAGAGAGACTATCAAAGTGATGCCTATCCCGCCTGTGCTGCAGGGAGGAGAGCACTCTGGCAAAGTAACAGCGTATCAGCAAAAATAAACAACAAGTCGGCATTCACTTTTGGTCCAGATAGTAGAGAGAGTGCGGCTCTGCAGGAAGAAGAAGAAGAAGAAGAAGAAGAAGAAGAAGCCTGTGCTTTGTGGGGCCTGGCGTGTTGAAGTAATTCCCTGACTGTAATTACGTCTGGGTGCATCACCCCGTAGGCCTGATCCGTACACATCTACTCCATGTGATTAAAACCTCCTGCAGAATAAGATTAAAACAGCCACACCGGGACATGCTTTGTTAGAGAGGGAAAGCAGGTTGTTTTTGAGAGAGAAGCTGAGTGAGTCAGTGTGTGTGTGTGTGTGTGTGTTTGTAGAGTGTGTGTGTGCAGGTGAAAGTGGAAGGGTTAGGGTGTGCTTCACCTCCTAATCCAATGTGCGCCGTCTTTGATGTGTGTAGGGGTTGGATGGAAGTGAGAATCGATCATGCCGCTTCAGACTTGAAACACTCTCCTCTCTATCGTTCCTCTTTTTTTCTTTTCCTCTGCAGAAAAAAGAAAAAGAAAAATACTTTGAAATTATTTTTATCATTTATCTAAACGGAGGAAATGCCTCATTATTCTGTGACAGCTGCATCCACACTTAAATTACCGCGTGATATTTCTCGTTCATTAACAGCCTTTCTGTTACTTCAATTAATTCCCGCCAAGGTTTTCAGACATGTTGTTTCTAATTTTCTCTGAGAAAAAGCACCACAGAGCGGCCTCCCTTCTAACCGCGTGCATGTTTTGTTTTGTTCACTTTGCAAAGTACAATAAATTCCCGTGTAACATTAGGTATAAATTCAAAATGAGTCAGCACTTCAAAAACGTTGTTACTCGTAATTGCATTTTTAAAGCTTTGAGCTTCTTGAGCACTGTAGAGAATGGCTTGTGGTGAGCTCGCCTTTGAGGTCTCTGTCTTGAAGCTGATGTTTCTCATTTCTCTAATGAAGGGAGGCATGTTTTATAAGGGCTTAAAAGTGCTTGAAAAGAGCTGTAAGGTGGGATCCGTCACCCGTATCTATCAGCAGCCTCCACTCTTGGTCTCAATCGCATTGGACCATTAAGGAGAATGTGAACGTATAGATGTGGTGTGCCGTAACATAAAGACATACGGCTCCACCATTACAGGGAGAGCACTTTAACAAAGAACAATAGAATATGGATAGAAGGGCCTTGATTGTATGGGGAGCACATGATGCTCTTAAAGCAACAGAGAGCCGAGGATAAGTGTGGTTAAAGTGCAGGAGACTTACTCTTGCAAACATAATTATATGATGGCTTAGGATGTTTCTGAGCAAAGAGAGGCTGTGCAGCAGAGGCTCGGCTCAGGTTCAGTTTGTGCCGTCGATCCGTGTTACATGTGATACAGGCGCAGGGAGAAAGGTGCGCTTTCAAACACACACACTTATAAATAAAGCATCGGTGTGAGACATGTGCTCAGGTAGTCCGCCCACAGCGTGTTACAAACCCACACTTCCAAATCTGACCAATTAGTGGGCTTAATTGCATGCCCTGTCTCAGTTGGCCAACTGAGGCTGTACAGTAATGAGTAGGAGGACTGACCTGAACCCACTCAGATGAACAGCAGGACTCTTCACTGCCTGACCCCTGCAGAGGGGGTTTTATTGTGTTTTCAGACACCTACAAGCTTCTCTGTACTTATGAATCGGGGGATCCACAGCAGCAGAGCTCAGGTTAATTAGGAGGGCTTACATCCTCTGTAAACAGCACGCCCCTGGTCGTCGGGGTCACGTTCTCTGACTGCAGAGTCGGGCAGACCCCTCCACCCTGGCCTCAGGCCTTCTGCCCAGTAACACTTAAACTTTCTGTTAAAAGGCCACAGAGAGGGATGAATTTATAGACGGAGTCAAAGGGAAAGCTGTGAGAGATGCCAGGAGAATAAAAGTATATCATAGAAAGCCGATGTTTTTCTATGGTTGCACATTGAATTCAGATTGTCCAGGGGGTTTGGCTCTCCACAGAGAGTTTTTCTTGTCTTGTCTTCTAACGTTGAATTGATTTTGTTTTTTTTTATAGTTATCTGGGAGATGGAAGATTTCATCTGGAATCAATCATGATTGCAAACCCAGATATCCCTGCCTACAGGTACGGTAAAACTGAACTGCATCTTTTTCATCATTTTTTTTTTTGATATTCTGCAATTTATAACAGACTGGATTTATTTATTTATTTACAAAGGATACCCATCAGTTACACTGTGGTAACAACTGTTCTCAATGGGGGCTACACAAAACAAACCAACTTAAAAGGTCACATGATAGATAATATTAGAAAAAGGGGACAAAAAACTCAAGGAAAACAGAACAAAAGTTCTTATTACTAATTTTTCCTGCAGGAGTAGACAGTGAAAAACACTGGTTCATGGTTCAGCTGAACTTTTTGAAATGACTCAAGGATGCAATTCAGTACTTGAGATTTTACTGTTAATAGTAAAATCATATTTTGAATTAAGAAAAGTAAAATACTACTTAGTGAATAAAGGATAACTTTGTATAATGTGAGAGTGCTTTGTTTGCAATCATATGAGTCAATGAGACCGAAATGTGTACTGATAAAGTAGGATTTTAGATTCAGTTATCTCTGTTTGTAATGTATTACAGATCAGTTATTACTCACGTTCACACTCAAAAAAAGTCATTTAACTTTCTTAAATAAAATCAAGACTGATAACTAATTTTTTTTGGTCTGTTTATTTTCTCATTTGGGGACTTAACAATGGTCAGAATAGAGAAATACAAATAGGCCAGACAGTCACTTTTTACAGCATACACTCAGTAATGACTCAGAGACAAATTCAGTCTAAAAATGAAACAGAGTGAAGTGAAGAACTTGTTTTTCTATTTCAAATTAAATGAGTGAAATCCATTAAACTGAGACATTGAAAAGAAAAACAAAGAATACAGATGTCTGTAAAACTAACAGATGCATCAAAAAGATGAAATGAATCACACACTTCTCCTCGATGATTTTACATCTTATTTCATCACTATATTTGAGAGACACAATGTGGTTTAGGACTGGTTTCCTGTACATGTCTAAGGTTGTGTTTGAGTTCCTCTTTGCAGTGTTTTTACTGTGATTTCTGTGCGCGTGTGTTCCCTCACGATTGATTGAGATATTTTTGCTCCGATATGATTCACGTACAGTTTCCAGCCTGGTTTAACCTCCATCATTGCACCAAGAAATTCAGTCTCAGACACTCTTTAAACTCCTGCCTCATTTGTCTTGAATTTCCTGCCTGAGTTACTCGACCGGTTCCAAAATACTGTGAATGCAGTTTTTTTTTTCTCTGAAGTTCAGTGTGAGTTTATTAGAATCGAACAGACTCTTTTTCTGACTTGTCTCGGTTAAACGTGGAGGCAGCTCACAGTTTTTTAAGTAAGCACTTCAGAGATTTAAGTCTAAAAGATGACATGGTGGAGAAATTCTGCTTCCTTGTCATGTTATTTGAATTGAAGAATCAGCTGCGGTTATATCAGTGTCCTGATAACATTTGGCGAGGCTGCAGCTCTTTTTTCATGAGGTCTTGTTTGCATGCAAAGTAATATTGTGTTGTTATAGACATACGCTCTGCCGCACAGATTACAGGTCTCTCTCATAAACAAGATTCTAATCTCAAGTGAGCTTCTTGTACCAATGAAAAGGAGATTAGATGCTCAGAAATACCTGAATTTCTGAGCAAATATCAACTCCTGTCATACTGGATGACTTCTGATGATTGGATTTTCCATCTTTTCTCGTGTTTTCTACCTCAGCTTAGGAACCTGAACAATAAAGACGGTAATATGCAGGAATTACAATCATGTATGTTTTTTTTTTTTTGTTCCTCTTTTCGGTCTGTGCTGGTAGGTATGACCCCTACAGCAAGGTGTTCAGCAGAGAGTACTACGACCACAAGGCTATGCGTGCCTTGAGGCTCCAGGCCATCGACAAGGCTCGTTCAGCACACAGATGGGGCCTGATTCTGGGCACGCTGGGCCGGCAGGGCAGCCCAAAAGTCCTGGAGGTAAGAGTCTGGATCCTCATTTTAACAGTCTACATGTCCTGAGGCCACTTGTGCAATGGCTTGTAATATCCATCAATGTGACTTTCACTGACTAGTGCTTTGGAGACACGAAGGACTGATAAAACAAGCCCTGGGAGCTTGTTATTTCGCATTAGGGATGATGCAACTCAAAAACAGTCCTTCCCTTGAATCCGCAGCTGGCCTCGGGGTTGGCTGTATTGAAGTGTCACTCTTAAAACACAAGGTTGATGGGCGATGATTAATCATGAGAAAACTGCTGGTCAAAATCAATGCCCGTCCCCTCAAAAGCTTTTTTTACAAGGTTGATTTTTACCTTTCGTACAGCTCAATACCGGTCAGGAATTTTAACCAAAGATTGAACCTGAAACATTTCATCACTGGATATGATTACAGAGTTTTTCATTCAGGAAAGTGCCAAACATAATTAATAATTGTTCCATGTTGCTTTTGGAGCAGACATAGAAATGAGATACTCCTCAAAGTATGACCTATTACGTATTAGCATGCACACAAGCTTGTCTGAGTTACCGATCGATCGACCTGGAGGCCGACTCTGGTTACTCCAAACCCACAGCTCCTCCTCCTGCTGCTCACCACTCCATTTGTTGTTTCTTATGCCAACATGACTTCATCTTGTTATAAGTATATGTCACAGTGGGTGTATGAGCATCCACTTGAACATTTGAAAGTTTATCATTATCTTTAACAGAGCTCTTTTCCTGTTTGTAAATATCAAACTTTAAGGATTATGTGAGCTTTTTATGCAAAAATGTCAGCCAGAGAGTAAAAAGTTTTATTTGACGGTAGACGGGGAAGGATGCATGAAAAAGGAGGATTTGAATAAAAGGACCAACCGTCTCTCTCATATTGATCTGTGAAGATTGAGAAGTGTTCTGCCAGATAACCTCTCAGCTAAGAGGACACAGCTTTCTCCGATAACAGCGCTGTTGCAGAAATGTCGCATGATACTCCCAAGGGCAGTGGATATCAGCAACACTTGCTCCGTTATCTGAACCAAAGAAACATTTATGGGATTTTTTTTTTCCTTTCACCTGCTTTGACTGCTTGCTGCATCCTTGAATAACACCTCGGTCCGAGAACCAATGTCCAAAAGATAGAGTTGAGCGAGAGCAGAGTTCCTTGAACTGGCTAAACAGTTTCATTTATTGGTGTGTTATACAAAGAATGGTGTCTGAGTTTTCACCCGTGGTCCCTGACCCAGCTCAGTCACAGGAAGTCGGCCTTATGTGGTCCCATTCCCCTCCTAGTTCTTTGGGAAATGGAGGGCAAAGCTGAGATCCTTGGCGGGCTTTACTTACTCTGAGGATGTGGGGCCAATCTGCTGGATGGACTCCTCCACCACTGTTACATTGGGCCAAAGATGTCTAAGACTTTCCCTATGGAAAATGAGAGACGGACCATAATTTATTACCTACTGTTTTTCTGAGCCAGACTAGAGAGATTCAGCGTAGTCCATATATGTTCAGGAAAGATGCTGCTCCAAAAAACTCAAGCATGCAAAAACTCAAGTGCAAACCTAAGAATATCGTTGTTTAATGAAAAATATATCCTCCCTTTAAATTTGACGCCAGCAGGAAGTTTCAAAACAGTTTGGACAAAAAAATGGTTTGATTCTTAAAAAAACACCTGCAGGAACATTTGCCAACTAGTTACACAAATCTGCAGCAGGGTCGCAACATGACAGGAAAGGAAAAGGGCTTTCTAGATTGATTCAGTCCCTCAGAAGTGAAGGTGTGAAAAGTTCACCACTCTGTGGGAGATTGGGTGAGGAAATAGGTTTCAGAATAATGGTCTTAACATACAGTATGAAGATTTCATCATTTAGAGCATAAAATATCGTTAATAGGGTCTTGAGAAGTCTTTGTACAAAGGGGACAAGACCAGGAACTGTCACCAGAGGGCTTTGGTCTTCAGGCTGGGACTCTGTCGTGGAAATCACTGCATAGGCCCAAAACCATATTTAGAAACTCTTGTTTTTGTTCATCGCTGCATCTACTGTTGTAGGTTAAAACTGCAGCAAGCAAAGAGGAAATCATACACAGTTTAAAAAATATTTAAAGATAATGGCAGACTCAAATATACTTGAAAGAGAAAAACTTTCATATCACTTAAAATCAAAATTTGGTGTTCCCTCTGGGAAATCATGGATGGTACATCCTTCATTTCAAAGAGAGAAGGAACCAACCTGCTTGATATCTGCTTGTTATCAGTGCACGGTTCAAAGGCCAGCACCCCTGATGGTATTGGCTCACAGCATTCCTACTTTATATACATGTAGAGGCACCATTATTGTCGAGCTATATATGCAGGTTTTGTAGCATCCAGACCATACCAAGACCTTCCATAATATTGCAAAAGGATACCAGGCTACATCTTGAATTTATTCCAACAGCATGGCTCTGTAGTAGAAGAGTCCTGATGCTAAACTGGTCTGCATGTAATCTTGACTTTTTACCTGTCCATCATGACACAATAATAAGTCAAAGGAGACCCTGAACTGTTGATAAGATAAAATCCCATATCGGGCAAGAAATCAGTCATCTTGATTGCCAAATGTTTACAGAGCGTTGTTACAAGGAGAGGTGATGAAACAGGTAAACACTCTCCTGTCCCAGCTGTTTTAAAAGTGTTACTGTGATCAAATTTAAATGAAGCATATGGCATTCAGGATTGTATGTAACTGCCCTCAGCTTCAGGCTTGAGCTCTGTGTCTATAACACTTGTCTCTATAGACACCCAAAGTAAACGACCCTCACTGTGTGCGTTGGCGCCTCGTGATAATTTGAAGAGATTGATTACCTGAAGTTGAAGCAGAACCACTTCACTTGAAAAATAACAGCGAGGATGGTGTCCAATCCAGATGCTCTCCCGTGGAGGAGTTTTCTGTCAAGCCAGCTGGAAGGAGACCCAGAGGACACCCCAAAGGGACTTCTCATCCCATCTGTCCAGAGAATACCACAGGGAGCTGGAGGCCATAGTTAAGGAGAAAAATCTCTCTGCCAGCGTGTTTAAATTGCTATAACCACCATTTAGACTGGAATAAGCTTCATAATATGGATAGATATATGGATATATGAGAGTGAAAACTGTAAAGCCTCCCTGCTTTCACTGTTAACAGTGGAGCTAAAGCCAATGGCCGACACTTGATTTAATTAGTGACATGTCTCACTTTAGCTCCAGCACCTTAAAGAGAGCTTTATTACATACCTGAATTGAAAGCTTTTTCCAACGTCCTTTTGTGTTTTTTTTTCTTTTTCTTTTCTCTCCGTAGCACCTGGAGTCAAGGCTACAGTCACTCGGCAAGTCTTTCACGCGGGTTCTTCTGTCTGAGATTTTCCCCAGCAAGCTGGCTCTGATGCCAGATGTAGACACGTGAGTATGAGACATTTTTACAATCAGAGATACAAGCAATTCTTTGAAAACCCAATGCTTGGCTGTTGTAGATAAATGTGAGTTGTAGCCCATGTTTTCCTATCTTTGGAGTGGGTTTGAATATCTTGTTTTTTTATACGCATGTTGCAGGATCTGATTGTAGAACCGAAGTTTTAAAAAATCTTCCTTCAGAGGTTCTTTAGTCGCTTCCAGAAGAAAAACCTCTGTTGCGTTATGTACTGTATAATGCATGGGCCAACACACTGTCTAGATGAGTTCTGAAATATTTCTCTGGTGTTACATTTTGGACTGAAGGCATGCACAGAAGGAATCAGCTGATGGAGCTGCATCTAATGACCAATTAAATGTAAACTTCTCCGACAGATGAACATCTGCTCGTGAAGCAGTGCGGCAAGAAACAATTATTATGACAGAGAGCATGTCTGAGGAAATTTTATTTGACGTGTATTTTAATCTCCCAGTTTGACTCATGTCCCATCGGTTCACATGGAGGAGACAGGCTTTAATATACGCACCTCAGCCAGTCACCAAAGAGAGCTCTGAATGTTTTGGCGTCACTTTTTAGGACTTTTTATGCAGCAAATACTCACATCGATTGGGAAGAGAAGCCTGATCCGACTTATCTCCTTGTCCGTGTATACATTCAGCTCAGAAAATCAGATTAGTGATGTGAACGTTTACGTCTCCCTAAAACTAGGGGGCGATATAGGTCTTTTGAGCAGATGTCTTCATTCCTCGATTTGTGACCATCCATATACTTTAAAAGGTCCATTTCTTTCAGGAGGGAAAGCATAACGGCGCTCTCCTCGTCGTTCCTAAAGTGGACATTCTTTCATGCTTCAGCCATGTTGCAGTTGCTGCTGAGTCAAAAGTTCTTGAAATGATAGTTTTTCTTCTCTGGTGTTTTTGTCCTTGGGTTTCGGGGGCGTGGCGCGGCGCACGAGCACATGCATTGCCCAATCATACTTCAACTACGCTGGCTACATGGTAGAGAAAATCAAATCCCAATCGCATTATCTGGGTGTCTTAATTGGAGTTCTCCGACTCCAATCCGAGTTTTCAGACTCAGATTATAGTCGGATGAAGGTGTTAACATGCACATTAGTTGTCCGGTCTTAATCGGAGAAAGGCAATAATTCAGTTTTTCATGAGTGTCATGTAAACGTACTGAGTGTTTGCACACAGCCACAGGGGGCGCCAATGTTCACACAAACCAGGAGTTTCTCACAGCAGCCTTAACAACCAACAGTTTCTCTTCTTAGAGCTGCTAATTCATCTTCACATCATGGCCCCTGGGGTTAAAACAATCAAAAACAAGCAGTCAACTCACAGTTGCAATGCATTCTGCAAGCATTGTTGCAGAAATAATGTCATCGTCAGCATAGTGTGCAAGTTTAAAATGGAGTAGATGGACTGTACTGCAGAGTGTGTAGGCTTGTAAACAAAATTGGCATTCGCTCCCCGATGGGACTGTATTTTTGTCTCCATAGCAAAAACAAATTGTTTATTGTACTGAATACGAAATGGAGTTTGCCCAGATTGGACACCCAGCACATACAAAGTTATACACTTAACCGATCCTTCAAAATGCTTCGTGTTCATTCTGTGCTTGTGCAAAAAGGACTGGGAAAGCATTTAACCTTGTCTTTGTTTTTTTTTACTCCTCATAGGCCAAATTTGGATTCATTTCAATCATCTTAGCTTGAGTGAAGGAAAAAATACAGTGTGTTACCTGAGCTCAGAGAAACTAAACCCATCACACACTCATTCCCTCACATTATCAGTGAAGTATGACATTATTGATGCACTCTCCGATCTGGTCATTAATACATTCCTGATAATTACAGTGTTGGAGCGCTGTCATCCATCAGCTCTCCAAATTAAAATGAGCTCCTTAAATTTCTTCAATGACACATCAAGTGCTTTTTTGTCGAGGTGCAGCAGCGTCTCTAAGATATCTGTCCTCTGAGCTGCAGAACAGAGGTGCAGATGGACAAAGGGGTTAGTGAGACACTGATGTGCAACAGTTCGAATCACACTCACTCACACACAGGCGCACTCCTCCCACTGCCTCAGATTGGCCTCTCGCTGTGGAGTAATGAGAGGTGTGATGTGTGAGGGAGGAGTGGGTGAGAGAAGGACAGAAGGTCTGAGAGAGATTGAGAGGGAGTTTAGAGAGAGAGAGAGAGAGATGCAGAGGTAGAGAGTTGAGGGGGCTGTGTTTGGAAAGCGAGTGATCACAGTAAAAGCCTTTTTTTTTCTCTCTCTCTCTCTCTCGTTTTTTTGGCTCTCCTCTTCAGACTGACGTATGAGTGCAACTCTGAAATTATGTAAGTCAGGCACGATTCAGCCAACCAAAACAAACCCTCATTACAGACAAAAAAGCCTTTCAACAAGGTGAAAACAAGTGTTTGAATACAGAGCTCAGGACCACTGTGTGCATAAACAATATGATCTTTTACACACAGAAGTCAGTTTATTAGGTACATTTAGCTAATTAACTCCCCAATTAGAAATCTGGAGATGTCATGATAATAACAGTAATAATACCGCTGAATTAATGTGGCAATAATTTCATACAGTTGGCATCCAAACCTTCATATACTCAGAGAAGAGTCAGAGCTGTGCCCATAACAATACTTCTTACAGTTATACTTAAAGTTTCTTTATTAATCAATTTAAAATACACTATGAGGAGCTGTAAAGAGGCTGTAAAACAGTCTCAGCTCATGTCTCTTTATGAGCTACAGAAGTAAAGATGTTTATGAGTGTTTTTGTGTACACTATGGAGGCTTTGCTGAGACATAGTCCAGGCAGTTTTGAGGAGGGGGACTTCAGTACGTCCCACAGATGCTCCATTTGATTGAGATCGGAGGAATCCAGATGCCGAGTCAACATCTTGACCTCTTTTTCTTGTTCTATCAAAGCCCCTTCTTTCATTGCTCCAGTTTTGATGCTCTCTTGCCCGTTGTAGCACAGTGGACAGGAGTCAGCACTGACACTCTGACCAGTTTGCGACAACCTCACACCACAGATATCAAACTGTAAGGAGTGCGAGTTTTGACACATTTCTGAAGCTTGTTTTCAGCAGATGACCTTGTGTCTGTTCACTATTTGTCCTTTCTTGAGTCCTTCTACCAAATTTGATGGGTACAGAACACCGCAGATCAGTGACACTCCACCCGAGCTGCAGTTTTGGAGATTTTCTTATCGGGTTGTCAAGCTATCACAGTTTGGTCCATGTCAAAGTCCTTTACAGTCTTATACTTACTAACTTCAAACACGTCAACTTCAAGGACAAAATGTTTGTTCGATGCCTAACATAACTCAACCATTGACAGTACATTTATATGCAGTTAAGTTGATTAGGTGATTTAACTGGACAACCACCCCCTTTGAGCTTGACACTATCACATAGTCTCCCAGTCGACATATGTACCAAAACAGTTGACAAAACCTATCAGCATGAGGCTAACGAGACACATATTCAGCAATGAAAATACCGTTGTCTTCACAGATTGGAAAGTTTCGTCTTTTCTCTCGAAGTGACCAAACATTTGGGCCAAGTTCAGTCTGATTGAGACAAATACATGAAGGAGAAAATCGATCCCCAACTGATTTAGTATTTTTGTTTTTGTTGCCTCCATTTTTTCTCTTTTTTGTATATAACATTTTCATCTGGGTCTAAGTTAACTTTTTCTGTAATTATTCTTCTGTGTTTGCTGCTCTGATCCTTTGCTGCTGTTAACACTGCAAACTTCCACACCGAGGGATGAATAAAGGTTTATCTCATCCTTTATTATCCAGGTACGTCAGTGCGACTAAAAGTAGTTTGATCTGTTGTAATTTCATCCAGACTAGGGCAATAAGTTAATATGTGAACACGCTGATTGCAAAGACATAAGCAACTGCCTCACTCCACCTACCAATGGTAAAGTCACGGCTAATTGATGTAGCTATTCCAGGTACTTGATACCTGTCACATCACATAAGATTCCAGCAGAAAAGGAGATTTACAGAAGCTGTACTCCTGCGAGATGTCACATCTGTAATCGTGATGAGGTTAATAGTGAGATGTAGCTGGTGTCATCTATTACTGTGAAAAACATTACTGTCAAACTGATATTTTCACACTAACTTAATTAACAGCTTAATTATAATCATAACACTTTACAATAACCATAACTTATACATGGTAAATAGACCATTTATAAATGGTAAGCTGATGTTTAATCATCATTTACAAATAGCATATAGACCATTAATAAATTGTAAACACTAACCCTAACTCTACGTTAACCATCTAAGTAATGTTTATAGGTGGTTTATAAACCATTTATCAATCATTTACAAAGTATTACAAACATCAGTTGCAACTATACAATAACAATCTCAGTAATTTTTTATAGATGGCTTAAAAACCAAATATTAACCATTTACAAAGTGCTACTGAAACACATTTTAATCTAGATGTTTTACAACCAACATTTATAAACCTTTAATAAATAGTCCATTAATAATTAATGAAAATTATTAATTATAATCTCATTGCTTGTTAATGGTAAAGTAACTCTTAACCTACATTAATTAACAATCTATTTGCCATTTATAATTGGTCTATATGCTGTTTTTAAGTGATGATGGAACATTAATAAACCATCATTTTACCATTTATAAATTATGGTTATTGTAAAGTGTTACCATAATCACTTATTATTATAAAGTTTTTTATTTGTCAAATCACAGTTATATAATCTAAAAACACACAAATAGATCATTTTCTCTTTGCCATGGAGCTTGTCTTTAGCTGTGCTCAAAAAAGAAAGATATAATTAAAAACAAGTTTGGCAAATAAAAAAGAAAAGAAAAAAAAGAACAGAAACAAAGGCACAAGCCATCTGGATCAAGATCTTCACAACAGCTGTCGAGCCCCTTTTGGTCACTGGGACCAGAGTAATCAACCCAAATGAAAGTTTCTCATAGCTGCTTCGATTTTTTTCCTCTCGTCACGTTTTTCGCTCTCCGCTGAAAATAGCTTGTAAGAACACGCTCATCCTACATTCCACCAAAATAGACTTTACACACTGCCAGGCATTTTAAGATTAGTTGTATCTGGCTGTGTTGAAAAAGGAACAGTAGCAGAGAAAGAGCAGGAGATTGAGAGATAGACAGTGGGGTGGTAGAGGACGCATTAGTGCTCAGCACCAGCCGACACAGCACACTGTACAGCAGAACCCACCCCCGGGCTTTCTCTGTCATTAGACACACACATACTCGCTCTTATAAAGAGGGAGAGACACCATTAGCATATGCTCTTAAGTGTGTAATTAGGCTGTCCCCAAGCAGGTTTTAAACTATTGTACAGATATCTGAACAGCACACACACACTTATCTCAAGTAGAGTGTAAATGCCACCCAGTGCAGAGCAGATCTTTTATCTTCCAGTTCGATTTTTTTTTCAAATTTTTGACTTAATTGAAAAGAAAATGTTTGTTTTAGACGAGCACTTACTCATTTCTTTTCCCAGTGTGGTAAAAGGTTAATTGTTCTAGCTTCTAGCAAGTTAAGATTGGGTGTAATTGGAGCAGATCCATGCAGGTGGAGGTCTCACCAGCAGCATCAGGGCATGATGGGCCACAGCAGGAGATGAAGCGAGCACACCATGGCATCGACTCACATAGCCTAGCAGTTAGGGCTGGATGATAGGACCTCGAATCAATATCACGATATATTGAGCAATAGAAATGGATGTGATAAATAGACGATAACTACTCCACAACCTGCTCACCCCCTCCCACATTAATGCTAGTTACCTCGGAAGTCAGATGTCGGAGCTGAAAATGACGTCACACCCGAGTTAGCAGCACAAGTCGGAAAAAAGCAAAATCGGAGGTGGAAACAATATGGCTACATCTACGAAAGTTATTTTAGCTCTTGCTTTGTCCTTGTTATATATGGACAAGGCAAGCGCTAAAATAACTTTCGTAGATGTAGCCATATTGTTTCCACCTCCGATTTTGCTTTTTTCCGACTTGGTAACTGAAACGCTGGTAACTTAGGTGTGACGTCATTTTCAGCTCCGACATCTGACTTCAGAGGTAACTCGAACGCAGCATAACTTCATCTACTTCAGCCACCACTGAACCATCCTCCATCTCCTCCCATGTCTTTCCCTCTTTGTTACGGACTTGAGACGGAGTCAGCTCTCCAAAACAAACTTTTTATTTATTTGACTCGGAATATATTGACATGGGCAAAATGATGTTGGTTATTGTCTTAAATTTCTGTATCAGTAAATTTTCGGTTTATCGCCCAGCCCTACCAGCAGTGTGAAATATCATGAGGACTTACCTTTATGTACCTCTGCTAAGTCCCCTTCAGCAGTCTGCTCCTCTAGTCCTTACAGATGACTTTGTGTTTAGGGTTTTACGCTCTACTATTCAAGAGACAAGGTTTCACTACGACCTGCATTTGTCCACTTTTTTTTTTATCTCTGTTCGTCTCTGCTTGGAAATAGGTTGTAAAACAAGGCCAGAGACAAAAGCCCCGTTTTTTTCCCCCCGGCTCTACGCCTTGTTCCTTTCCTCCAGCTCTTTTTTTTTTGTATTGCTGCACCGCATGATATGAGTTCTCCACTGTGCCGGCGAGATTGAAGGCCGGATATGGGCGAGACGCATAATTTGAGCTGCATTCTGGGGGCAATACCTGGCACAGCACACCATGCATTTCAGTGAACTGCACATTTCAGCCTGTCTCAGCGCTAATATTAGAAAAGTTCCTTTCTTGGCTCCATGTGCCAATCAGCTATCAGCTCCTTAGGAGGGATCCTCTCTGTGCTCCCTTTCATACCTTCTGTCTCACTTTCCTCCAAACCCTGAAGATTGAACGGAGCAGTCTCGGTTTGCTTATTAATCACATTCCTCTTTTTTACCACCGTTCTTTTTAGCTCATTCTGCAAATAGACACAGACACACACACAGCAGAAGTGTGTGCACACATCGACCCACATGCTCATGCACACATATTCAAACTGTCAGACTCCCCCTCTGTAATTAGTCCCTTCTTACTGTGCATGGACTAAGGCGGTTTTTGAAACATGTGCTACGTTAAAGGGCTACTGTTATGAAAAGCAGCTGATGGACTTAAAGGTCGTTTCTCAGTTTCCACATATCCATCTCCAGTCTGCAAACATAGGTCAGAGGAAGTTGGTGCTTTGTGTAAATCTCTGACTCAGCTGAGTCTCAAATTAGGAGCACGGATAAGAATTTTCCCTTTTTTTTTTTTTTTTTAAATGGAGAAAAAGGAGTGTTATTTGAAAATGAGAAAATGCCATGCGTTTGCCTGGAGGGGATTGAATGTTTCTGTGGCAGAAAGCAAGAGTGTAGCGAGAGTCAACGGTGCAATCAATTCTGCAGTTTGAGAGAAAGTGTGAAAGCTAAAAAAAAAAAGTGAAGAAAAGGCGGATGGGGATTTCGACGCAGAAGACATGAAAGAATTCGAGCGATTACGCCGAAACTTTCCTCCTTCATCAGTTTCCCATCCACACCCTGTGACTCTCGGCACGCCTTTGCTTAAATCTCAATCCGATCTATTCTCATTGACATTTACCTACATCTAACATGATCTCCTGGGCTGTTATATATGCACCGCGGCTCAATTCATACTTGTCAATACTTTTGATGGAGCTCCATCTTTAGGATTAGGGACAGGGGAGGGTCCACTCCCTCAGTGCAGATGTATCAGTGGATAGCATTGATCTGTGAAAGCTAACCCCCTTAGCCCCAACCACTCCTCTGCGCCTCCATTCTCCCATTGTTCATTTTTCCCCCTCCAGCTGTTTACATCCACTCCCTTCTCTTCCCTCTTTCATGCATTTTCCAGAGTAAACACTTTTTCTCGCTGCCAATCTGCCCCTGTTCCCTCTCCTCCTCTTTCTCGTGTCTCCTCAACCCCCCCCCCTTTTATTTTCGTCTTAAATTACTCTCTTTCTCCTTATCGCTGTATATCTGTGTCCTTCCCTCTTTTTTTATCAAACCCCCTTTCCCCTCCCGTGTTTCTCTTTCTCACACATACACACAGCCCCCAAACCTTATTCCCCTCCTACCCATTCCCCTTCCCACCACCCTGTCTGCCAGCTATGTAGGCTACCTCCGTTGAGACCGTGCTGGTGCATTTTTTTTTTTTTTATTCACACTCACCTAACCTCTCCCTCTTTTTTCTTTCACTGCGTTTCTTCTCTTTTCACGTCTTCACTTCTTCCACTGTTTTTCTGTTGATGCCTCCTCACCAGCCTCCCCCCTCCCCTCCCCTCCTCCGCTCCCTCCTCCCTCTCTTTTGGTGCCTGCCTATGCATTCAGACCGTGTTGCTGGAGCTGTCTTTAGAGCTGTTGCAAATCAGGACAGATCTCTCCAACAGATGCTGGAGATCAGGTGGAGGGAGGCTCACTCTGCACAAGCCCCCCGTTGGATCACGTATCCACATGCAGCGTGCAGACGTGCAGATGTGCCCCGCCTGTTTAATCGGATCTCTATCTCTCCCCTCCTTTCTGACTGCCTATTTGCACTAATTTACAAATGCACTTCTGAGCACAGATTTGTACCTCCTGTCTCCTACAGGTGGGTCCAGATCGCTTGTCCACGCCTCTCTATCGACTGGGGCACAGCCTTCTCCAAACCCCTGCTGTCCCCGTATGAGGTAAACACACACCTTCTCGTCTTCACAGCGAGATCACAGCTGTCACTTAGCCGAGGAGACACACACACACACACTCTCACACACCCACTTTGGTTGAATCAAAGCCTATGTGTGAATTTGCACTGGACTTATCAAGGCCTGCTTGTCCCTCCTTCTTTCTCTCCCTCCATCCTTTGCACACAGAAAAACACTCTAAACAAGATCAACAGAAGTCTAGCACCCCCTACTGGTTACACGATCACACACACACACACCCCTCCCTCCCCTGCCTCTCCCTTGCAGCTGTCTTGTTTTTTCTGAAAAAGGAGAGAAAGAAAGATAGATCGGACACCAACCCATAAAGATCCATTTCAAAGCGAGTGTTTGTTTGCGTGCCGCCGCAGCTGCTGCAGCCGCTTTGTGATGTGTTTGGCAGCTCTTGTTATTATGTGTCTCCGCTGGTTAGCATTTGATGTCCACTATTAATTCATCCAACGATCTCCTACAAAGATTTGCTACTGATTTGAATCCCTCTGAAATAGCTGCGAGGGGAATAGCCATCATGAATATCGACTCTTGATTTGAAATGCTTGCTGTTTTCCTCAGACTACTCATCTTTATGCACCGCTTACGCTTCAGAATGAGGCCATTGAGAATAATAATAGCGTTCACCTTAGCAGGAAAAGTGATGGTTATTTCTCACCGTTCCTGACAGAGGTCTATAAGTTTAAAATTTGCTTTGCTGTAATAAGGGGAGCCCCAATCTGTTTTCCCAAGCCCTTTTTCTTAGAGCCCACTCCGCTTACCCCACCAGCTATATGAGCGCTGAGATAATTTGCAGCCGCACTCTGCATCCTTATACGTGGTCGTGATAAATCTTAATTCACCCTCATCCCGTACCTATGAGTGCCATACATCTCAGTGTGTTGTGCTTCTTCTCTCTGGCATTTACAATAACGATGAAGAGGAATGAGAGGGGAGGGTGGAGTGAGCCAGGAGTAGGGCGGAGGGGGCCGAGGCATTTATTTTCAGTGCGTCTCATGTTATATTTATAGTCAATAAGACACACTTGGCTCTCCTGTCAGAGCAGGGATTAGCATGGGAAGCTAGCTTCCTCAGAGAGAGGAGGAGAGCAGGGGGTAAAAAGCTCAAGCAATGAGAAAAGGGTGGAAGAAGGGCAGAGGAGAGGAGAGGAGGAGATGAAGGGGAATCTAGCAGAGGGATGTTTGAGGAGAGAGAGGGGCTGGGTACAGTTAGTTCAGGAGGAAACACTTAACACATCTACTCCATTTTATAGGACTGATATGGCATAAAGAATTTGTTACTATGTCCAAAACATATTTATATAAATCACATGAGACCCAAAGTGTTACTAATAAGACTAAATAAATGCCGTAGCAGAGCTGCCAAAAAAATAACCACAATCATTTTTATCAACATCGATATCATGATAACTGTATTTTCTGGATGACAAGTCGCTCCGTAGTACAAGTCGCACCAGCCAAACCATGAAAAAAGTGTGACATATAGCCCGGAAAAATACGGTATTAAAGCTCCAGTGAGGAACTTAAGTTGACAAAACAGTCTCTGCTTGCTTGACATATTATAGTGGTGTTTTTTGGCAAGAATCTCATCCCTTTGACTTCTGACAGTCAAATGTATAATTTATGGTGAATATTTTAGAAACAGTGTCACCCACTCTGCTGACACCTACCCCCTCACTCTAGTTTCAGACATTAAAAATTACGATTTGAAAACTGTCAATGTTGCTGCTGAAGGTCTTGTTTGCTTTCCTATAAAATAAAAATGCTTCATTATGAGTTTCAGTCTTTTAAACTGACGTCAAAAAATTCCTCACAGGAGCTTTAAATACATCTACTTAAGAATTTTAGGAACAACTTGTTTTTGTGTTTCAAAACCTTTATCACCTGTTTTCACTGAACACAAATATTTACTCAAATTACACATCAAAAAGCATCAAAACTTTGACCTAATTTTGATGATAATACCTGAGGGAACTGACGTGTAGTAAACCACCTGGACTGTCATACATTTTATACCTCGTCTTTACAACATGAAGACCTGTTGTTATAATTCGTATTTATTATCTCAAAATGATTCAGTCACTCATCCTTTCACCATGTAATCATGAGCCCTTGTTAATGCTTGTAAATTCTGCAGCTTTGCCTCCTCTGCTCACTCTGTCCCTCTGTTTTACTCACACACACACCTGATTCTCTTGCTCTGAATCTGCTTTACTGTGGTATTGTGATTAAAATCCAAAAAACTGTGCTGCCCTGCTCCAAAGGCTACTCTTTTTATCCCTTTAAGAGACAAATTTTGTCACTCATTTTCCCTTTAATCTAAATGGGTTTTAATACCTGTGTTTACATCTAATTGTATTTCATACATCATCTAACAATCCGCACGTTGTTTGACTCTGCAGTGAGCTCTCGGAGTATTAATAGACTGAAAGATGAAAGTGCAGTCTGATACAAATTAAATATTTTGTTCATTCATTCAGCTCCTTGTTTATTCATCTCTTCAGTCATTCAGCTGCTCCCTCTGTCATTCATAATCAATATTCACACACACTTCTCCTCCATATGGAGCAGTCTGCACTTATGTCACAGCACTGTCATGCGAGTGTTGTTGCTCTCCTGTAACAGCTGTTGTGCCCTGCCGTGCAGCTGCATAAGGATAACATGACAACTCTGCCTCTTATCCAAGATTAATATTATGACACCTGTCTCTTCTGTTGTTGTCTTGTCATCATGCTGTGCTTCCCTGCTGCTTGTTTACCCCAAAACATACAAAATACCAGATATAAACAGCAGAATTATGCGCCGTAGTGTCTTACACAAGCAGGCTGCTGCCACTGCTGCACTATAAGGTTGCGAGGATTAATTATTCGTGATCTCACTATCTCTCAGGCAGCCGTAGCTTTGCAGGAGGTTGGCTGGAAAGAAGTCTACCCCATGGATTTCTACTCCAATCAGAGCCTGGGGCCGTGGACACCCAACCATCCAGACAACCAGCCTGTGCGGCCCACTCGCAGACAGAACCAGGTGAGCCGGGGCGGGAGATAAAAGAGTGAATAAGAAAGGAGGAAGAGCGGAGGAGGGGAGAGTGAAACATCATTGTGTGTTCAGCATATGTTGGCTGTCTTTTATCAGGGTGTCCCCACACTGACACCCAGTGGTACAATGAAAACAAGACATGCGTTTACACATGTCTCTCAAAGGCGTGGTTTTAACCTTGACCTTTGCGTGTCATAAATCTTCTTCAATTGTTTAAAAGACGGTTACTTTTACAGCTAATTGATGTGTACGACGACACCGCTGTACCCATAATGCCTCAAATTACCACTAATCTGTGTGAGGTAGGTGCTGTCACTATTCCAAGTGTTAATGCTATCCAACTGCCCGCCTGCAGAATCAAGGCTCCAAGCCAGCCCTTCCTACCAAGCAATGTGGGCAGGACCAGTGCACCCCCTGTGGCTGTAAGGGGGAATGACACACCAGGACCGGTGCTGTGTTTGTGCGTTTGACTCGCCTCGAGGCTGCCGGTGCCTTTGCCTCTGTAATGGCTGCAGGGAGGTCAAACCAGAGGGGGAGGCGGAGGAAAAGAGAGTGGGTATGTGTCCAGACAGTCTATCAGCAGAGCCAAAGCCAGAGGAAGCCCTCAGCCCCGCTCCTCAAACGGATTACCAGCCATAAATAATCTCTCGTCTTACAGCACAGCAGATCAAACCCAAATTCATTGCTCTTATTCACGTTCTCCCTGCATGGGCCCTGAGCTCAAAATATGCATGCAACTGAGAGAATAGCTCGAGCGTTTATGAGCTCATTTGTCAAAAATATTCCCCATGAAGGAGCTTCTCTCTGCCGTGCTGTGAAAGGAGTTCTTCCTGCACGGGGGGAAACGTGTGGGCCTGTCTGTAATGGAGACGCGGCTTATGTTATTGTTAAGGAGAGAAAGTGTGAGATGACCTTGTGCACAGTGTGGAATTTAAAGTGTCTGTAGATGTGGGAGGCTTTAGTCAAACTTGTCCTTGGTTAAATCCCTGTATATAGACAGACACTTCAAATGTATTTACCTTTATACTTGATTCACTAAGTTGTGTGAGGCACTGCTTGATGTACATTATGTGACTTTTTACAAGGTTATCCTTCAGGAATTTGAATGATGACAACATAAAGTACTGTCACGCAAACTTCCTCTCTCTGTCTCTATTTCTATTTAAATCTAAAAACACTGAATTTTGATTTCTGGAGTTGTTTTTGTGCCGGCGCTGAAATGTTTTTTAAGGCTGAAAAGGGGTATGAGTTCCTAGACGTGTGCAGCGCCAGTCACGACTTCTCTCCATCCTCATTATTTATTGATGGCACATTCTGTCAATAAATAAATAAATAAATAAATAAAAGCAGGCTATTGCTGTTCGGCTGCCACAGCAGAGACTGATTGACAGCAGCGCAGCAGGGCTCCAGCTGATCTCCAGAACTTGTGAACCTCCCCCAGGTTGCGGCACACTCTCAGGTGGGTATCATCTTCTGTGAGTTTCTTGTTTCCTTTCAACTACCAGGTAGATCCATCCTCTAGTTTCCGACATCATATCTCCTTGGCAACAGAAACCGGTGTGAGGCTGCACATCCCGCCAGATGTCCGTCGTTCTCAGGATGTGTCTCATGTGTCGAAGTAGTGGCCGTTATTTTGTAGAGCTCAGTTCTCACTACAGTAAAGTGTGTAATGCAGAGCAGTCAGGAATGAATAAATGGGCAGCAGGGCTCCTTTGCAGCCGATTTTTCATTTATTTTTTTGGTGAGCTCCGCCAGGGGAGAAAGAGTGAGGAGGATTTATAGATTCTCTTTATTTTCATCCAAAGTATTCAGTTTTTTAATCTCACAGCCTCACGATTAGTCTTGCTATTAATATTAATTGAGTGCTGATATGAACATCAGTCCATTTCAGAAAATATACTCGCTAAAAAGACATACCTTGTATATAACACAGTCAGAATTTAAACCATTTGATACTGAACTAACGGCTATTTGAATATGGTAATGTAAGTCATACGGGACCCTTGTGATCTCTGCAGAATCAGAAATGAAGGCTTTGAGACTCTGATGTGTGCGAACCAGACTCTTTTCTTAATTAACTGAGTGTAAAAAGTTGTGTAATCAAGTTAATATTCTCTCTCTTGTTTATGTGGCTCGTTGACTTTTATGATAGCAACAAGTAATCCCTAACACACATTGAGGATAGTGCTTTAATCAACATAAAGCACATAAGAGAGTCACTTTCTGCACTGTCTTTGCCATGATCTTTACATTAAAGTCAAAACACCAGACAAATTTAATAAAACTTGATGCAAATCAGATATGCAAGGCATGTAAAACAAACACTTGATGAATGATAGGTTAAAGTTTGAAGGCCAGTCTCAGAAATTAACCTACTTTGCTGACTCTCTTTATTCATTTTGGTGTTCTGCCAAAGCGGCTCTGTACAAATATGTTCTTCTTCAATGTTTCCATGTTACATACTCATGCAGTGTGACTCAGCTTTGTACCAATAAAATGCCTTATCTGTCCTTGTTTGATCGACAACCAATGCTTGAAGACCCTCTACTCCTGAGAAAAGCAGAAGACTTGAGCATTTCATGGCCACTCTCCTTGGATTGAACACTCTTTCAGAGTAGAAAGTACACTGATTTCTAAAGCTGTAGCTGCAGTGACCCAGCATGGCAAACCATATAGATTTAAGGTATCTGATGCTTTGTGTTTATGGCTTCTGCGAGGAATTAAAGGTTTTTGCAGATTATGGCGCCCCTGTGGATAAAGCAGTCCTCATCACTTCTGACCTGCACATGTGAAAGTAAGTGTTGCTTAACATTTTTTTATTCTACTCTTTTAAACAGTCATCACTCATCAAGAATCTGTTTCCATGTAATGTGAAAAAAAAAGCTGTTTAAAGACTAAAATGTTAATCATTCATCTGAAACAGTCCCTGTAATTAGTGACAAACCTTAGTTTTCACAATAAGTACACACAACAAAAATTTAGAACATCGTGAGACACCTTGAGCCTGACCTCAGAGGAAAATAAACTCTATTAGAATATGATAAATAGCCTCTAATGAAACTGTCTAGCCTTGAAAAACTGTAGAAAAGCAAAAAGTGGGATAGGGCCAAACTTTTAAAAGTAAATAAAAGTAAATTTCTGACTAGATGGATTAAAACAATTAAACACTGAATAGATTAGGCTCATCGAAGCAAGTGAACAGGAAGGTGAGACTGAAATTAATGGGTTTCTTTCACACAAATGCTTTAACTTTGTCAGTGTCATAAAACTTTATATTCTCTAAAATAGTGAAATTCATCCTTGATTGGAAAAACAAAACAGACACAGAGAAACTCCAGCAGCCTGGGCAAGGATTGAGTTTATAGCTACAAAATTTATTAAGTTGTCATAAACAGAGGATGATGAGGCCGATTAAACTTAAAAAACAACACACAAGTGCACTCAAAAACACACTGACAAGAAAAACGAATGCCTGCTCACACACAAAGACAAACACTGTTGTGTGCTTGCTTCATGCACAGTTAAAATATTCATGTCCTTTGGGAATATTTTTTCTGTAAGTTTGATTTTCTTTTTCTCCCCTTTTAATATGATTAAAACTTAACTCTTTGGCACTATTCTCTGTACCACATTCATACTAATAAGGCACGTTGTATTAGTTGAAACAGAATCATATAAACCTCTGCCAATCTTCACTTTCCCTCATGGTTCTACTTCTAGCTGTATTTACTGCTAAGTGACCACTAGGTGGCACTGTCTACATAGTTTATCAGCTGCACTGTATGGCATTCAAATCACTTTGCACTGTGCTGGACATGGCAGCACATAAAAGGTGTGCAGAGTGAAGGAAACCCAGTACGCTGATGTTAATATGGGTGCAGTTCCAGCTGTGGTGGTTAATTGACTCCCAGCTCTTGTACTTTCATTTGCACCCAACAAGAAAGCAGAGACGTATTTGTTATGGAAGTCTGAAGAGTTTACATGTCTGTGCTCAACATGGCAACAGCTCATGTCAGAATTAATTCTTGTTAATTCTGCATCTTTGCTTCCTGTGCTCACTCTGAGCCTCTGCTTGACTTACACACATGGGCAATATGGATATATGTCACACAATGATGTGGCTGTATTCTAACTGCGTGGTCATCTGGCTGCTATAGCGCCTACAGCAGTGAGCAGTGATGTGATTCAAAGGTCATTTGCTAATGCACCTTGAACAGCCACACTTTATAAACTCAACCCACTGTAGCTGAATAGAAAAAATGAATATTTTTCATAAGTTTGAGCCATTTTTCCTGTTAATGTTTCTGTTTTTTCTGTAGCTTTGTCTCCTACCTGGCGAGACATGTCAGCAGCACCTTTGATGCATTAAGTTGTTTACTTCACTGACCAAGGAAAGGCTGAGTCACAGCCGCTTCTCACAGTCCCCCCTCTGTCTTTTACCGTCACTTTATGTGCATCACTCCACTTTACATATACCCCTCGCCGAGTAAATACATTATCAGAAGCTTTTATCGCATTTATTCGCTCCTATTGTGTGACTTATACCTGCGCCTTTCCGTCCAAAAGACTATGGGTGGGAAAGAGAAGTTTAGAAATATCTTTCATGACTCATGGTGCTACAACAAAAATAAACAGAAGAGGAGGAGATGTTTGCAAGTTTGTTTTTGTACTCCTTTTTATCCATCAGTGTCTTTGAGGGAGGGTGAGTCTTCAGAGAGAGCCACATGTGAATGTGATGAGAGAGGAAGTGTAAAAGAAAGGACATAAGGCAACAGGTCTGCTTCTTTTTGTTGTACACAGCGTTTCTACCTATTATGCTCAAACTTCACTTCACTTGGGACTAATTTGACTACACTTGCTTTATTAACATCTGCCAAGACACAACAGTTGGGTAGGAAACTGTTTGTAGATGTGGGGAAGAAAAATTGAAAGAAATCAATGCTAGGTTTCAGAGGAATGCTGTTTAAAGCGTTTCTTTGTGTGCTCCATGGCAACAATAATATGTGACTTATGTGACAGTGCATAAGCAATCTTAGCATCAGACAAAAGGCCTTGGAAGTAGGAGCTGTAGTTTGTCAGTGAACGTGGTGTTTATGCATGAATTAGACGTTTTCTGCAGAGGCATGCACACGAATGAGCATAAAGCCTGTCATAGCAAATGTAAATATTTTACAGCATGTTCAAGTGGTATAATTCAAGCAGGCTGGGCTCATAGATACTGCTGATGTCTTGTCATGTTTCAACACTGTCAGAAAAAGGAAAAGAGAGGAAAACAAGACCTTTATGCACGCGTTAAAAGGCAAAAGGCCCCTTGAGGAAGGAGGAGAGAGCAGTGAACTCAGTCCAAACAGCCTGTTGTATTCATGTTCACTCTAGTCTAATTCCAAGTGATTCATTGATTCAGTTTGGATTAGCAGAATTCTATAACAGTCGAAATTAGCAGCATTGTGTTTAACAAGCCCTTGATCTGCATCCCTGTGGAAATTTGAACAATAAATGATTATGTCTAGAGGCGGCTGACTCTGTACGTGTGTGGGAGAGAAGAAGCCTGGGCGGCCAAACAAGAATGTGAGGGAAGGTTGTGAGAAGGTTGAATAAGAGTCTTTAGTCGAAAAAAAAAAAAGAAAATAAGTGGTGTAAAGAGATGACTAATTCTGCGTGGGAGGTCAGCCTGTCCCTGATCATCCGGCCAACAGCCTCCCCAGCACAGGGCTGCTGTCACAAAGTCACCTTCCTCCTCTACCCACTCGGTCCTGACGGGGATTGTCAGTGTTTTCCTCTCATGCTGCGATCAGCTGTTTTGATTAAAGTATTTTACATTTTAAAAACTAGAACAGTGGGAGGGGAAATCTGGATTCTGTGGAAAATGAAGATTTAATTTGTTGCTCTACTTTTGTCTTTTGATTGTAGCTCAAGAGCAATTCAAATCCACAAACACTTTTGAGAGTTTTTAAACCTCATCTCCTAAATATGTAATTTTCTCATTTTCTTTAGATTCTTACTCCAGTCAACACTTAAAAATGAAAAATCTCTCAATATTTCCCCGTTATTTAACCCAGAACATAACCTGGAGCTTCTCCTAGACAGAATATATCAAACTTACAGCCAAGGTTAATTTTGATATCCCAATTCTCTCTAATGGTTGGATTTATTTAGCATCTTTGTTCCTGCTTTAGGGCGCAGGAACAATAATGCAGCTGTTTGAAAAGAAGTTGGCGAGAGCAGGGAGAAAACATGAGTCATTCGAGTTTCTTGAACTCCTTCAACTCCAGAAATACCGCGCCGCTCTCTCGACTTGCCATCTTCGAGCTTATGTCATATGTTTGTGATTAGTCATGTTAATGTGCTTAACATGATTCATGATTTCTCAGTTTTGGTGACTTTGCTGAGTCAGTCTCATGGTGTTTTTTCTTAAACTTCTACACTGGTATCGATCGAGGTTGTACCTGTATTTGGGGTAAATCAGGGTAATGCCAAAAAAGAATAGTTCTAAATAGATGAACTTATAACCAAAGACTAACAGGTCCTGGTTTCAACAGATTGGACACTTTTTATGCAGCAGCAACACTTCCAACAGCTTGTTTACGAACCGCACAGCCGATGGAGCAAAATGATCTTACGTATCTGTTTCATTTGTCCTTCCTAACATAAGCGAACCTCTGAGGACGATGCTGACAGTCCTCAAGGGCGACCTTTGCCCCTTAAGTGGCTCTGACTTGATAAACATGGCCGAGATTGTTAAACTCAATGCCAAGAATCTTGAACAGTTTTCCAGCCTGCTTTTGTTAACACCAAAGAATCATCTAGAAGTCCAGGGTAATGTTCAGATTGACACGTGAAAACGCCAAAATAAAAACACAACAAGGTTATGTTTTAAAACTCTGAAGGCAACAGGTTAATACTTTTCCTACTGTGAGGTTGAAACTCAGTAGGAGGATAAATCTATGCCTGTTAGTGCCGCTTCATTTATTATTTATGTAAGAATAATGAAGTGGCAGAACCATATTTATCAGATATGAATAATGTGATGTGAATTAAAGGCCAAAGCGCATCAGACGTATGACTCTTCAGCTCTTTATTTTGACATGGTATGTTTTATTTAAAGATTAAATGTATTTTTAATTCCATTTTAATCTAGAGAATAAGTTGAATTTTAACCATTGTGAAATATTTCTTCTCTCTTAAGCAGTTCCTTGAAAAATGATTACTCACATCAGTCACTTTGTTCACATCTGTACCTACAGTATATGTCATTCTAACTCTATTTTAGGATTTTTTAGTCTAATCATTTATTCCAAATTTTCACAAGTTAAGTCTTGGTTTTAATGCAAGTTTACATCTGGAAATAAGTTAAACCTAGAGTCGTGATAATGCTGCAATGACAGCCACTCATCTACAAGGATCTTTATCAAAAGCAGGATGAAAATAGTCCCGGTATGACATTCATTTATTTATATTTGTGATGATCAGTCAAATCAAAACAAGAGTAGGCATGTTGGCTCGGTTTACAAGATGTCCTTGAGCAAAACACTGAATCCCTGCCAAGTCTGAGATCACTTCTGTTTAATTGACCCTTCAGCTTTTACCCAGCTGTTAAAAAGCAATTCAAATTACAATGTATCTGACAAAGACACAAGGATTCCTCTGCTTGTGAGTAAATCATTTATTGATCAAAAAATTGGATTTACATGCACATAATTTTAATAGGTACAATGCTGAAAGGGTTTCCTCTACGAAAAAAGATAGTAAGAAAACAACTTTCACCCACCTCAAGTTCTATATATCAGGATTCACAGCAGGTCAGGATGTTCCCCGAGTCTGAGCTTTCCTCCTGGCAGGAGGGGATCAGTTTTTATCAGGACTAGACAGGTTGCCTCTGCCTGACACCGCTCCCCTCTGATACACTTTCAAAACCTGAGACTTTCATCTACATGTCAAAGAGTCTTTCCTGTCTGGAGGACACGGGTTAGCTGCAATGTTCCCTCTTATGTACAGCAGATAAGTGAAGTGTCCTTTGGATAACATTTCCTACATTTGAAGAGCTTTGCTTCTGTGTGTTTAATAATGGAGAATTCAGTTACACAAACAGTAAACCTCTACTTTATACAGGTTTGGGGTCACGTATGCATTGTGTTTTTCTGCCACCTTGGATATAGGTCAACCTTTGTTTTCCTTACTTCTCGTTGAATTAAATCACATGTGACTCATTTCACATCAACAGCAGTTTTATATCTTCTTTCAACACTTATTGCTTGTTTGTCTTTTTCCTAATTTGTATTTTTCATTTTTTGCACCAGTCTCCTTCAGATGTGTGTTTCTTTGCCCCCTAGCGACCATGGCTGTAGACTGTTACCAGTGGTGCTGTTGCTACAGTAACAATCTAATGCCACGGTCGCCATGGAGACAGCAGGAGAAATATGATTGGCTGCGGTAACGGCTGACGTCCTCAGCTGGTTTGATGATGTTGGTGATGCAGCCTTCAGTAGTGCTGATGAGAACTTCATACAGTAGAGCGCTGTCTTCCCACTCAGCTGAACTCTCACTGTGACAGAGGTGACTTTTTTTTTCTCTCTCTCTAACACAGAGAGGCAGAGGTTTGCCAGACGTCAGTAGCCATGACTGTAGACTGTTACTGTACTTTGGAGGAGTTTTTAGCAGTAAGCAGTCTAGAGCCAAGGTATTGATGCACTGACTGACAGAGAAGAGCAGAAGCACTGAGTTAAACCAGACTGCAGAGAATAGAAAGCATACACGCTTAAAACACGATACATGATCAGAGTCTTCTGTCAAATCGAGGTGCAGTGCAAAGAAAACACCTCCTTTGTCCTCTTGATGGTTTCCAGGCATATGTTGCGGCCCACTTCGGCCAAATCAGATTCTATACCATGACACAATGTTAACAGTAGCGCGTCATACGCTTTCCTGCTAAAGGCCTTAGGCTCTGTGTGGTCAGACTGCCACTTACAAAGCCCACTTGTTGTGTTTGTACTATTGATTTCCATGCCGATTATCTATGAGTCAGACACAGGATATGGACGGACAGAGGGCACAGGGTGGATTGGTGGCTTATGCAAGCTCATCTGAGTAACTCTGGGACTGACGTCAGCACTCAGGAAACCTGAGTACCTACAAGCACTTATCTGATGTTTATGTACCCGCTGTTTGAGGTTGAGTGAAGAGGATGGCAGCGATTTGTCTGTTTTTTTCAAGAGCATTTTTGTTTTATCTCTCACATGAAGGAATCTAGAAAGGGGAGGTACAGTGAGGCTTCAGTGTCACTTGAACTGGTTCCTGCCCCATATTTCCCTCAGTGATGTCACCACCAGTTACTTCCATAATGGGGGAGCATAAATGACAGTTATCAAAGTGAGGCTGTGACCTATATATGAAAACAAAGTCTAAAGAAACTCAGTGAACGTCATTCTGATTCATGGAAAGCGAAGCTATTTCTGAAACAGGCTTGCTCTGTGTTTTTTAACGCTGTCCGTGGTGCTGAACATCATCCTGCTGGCCGAGTTTCAGCTGCTGCGTGAGCCGTAAATATCCCAAGAGATGCGCCTCCTTAATTATCAAATACACACGCGTTAGGAAGAGGCAAAAAAGTTTGGATGGTCATCTGTGCTTTAACACATAGAAGACAAGATAGAAGATCTGTAAGGCCAGTAATAGGAAATCTGTAATATTATAAGACATGATATATTTTTGGGAGGATTTTAGATCAAATGATCAGGGCATAAATATCACTTTTATGTTAAAATGTGTAGAGTTTGTTCTCCTGTTTTAACTCTAAGACTATACAGGTCGTCCTCTTGGATCACTTTCAGCACCATGGACAGCTCCACAGAACTAAAGATGGCTTTTCTCAGAGTACTAGATATAAAATGTTATTTCTTGTGTTGTTAGGATAACCTGGACACTCTAACAGTAAAGCCTAATCCAGTGGGAAAGATTATTGAACCACTCTCATTGTAATTCCGGTCATACTCTCCTCCAGGAGTTACACCGGGGAGTTTTGATCAGACCCCCGGGCCTTCCCACCCCCCTCACCTCCCCTCATTTCATCTCCTTAGTATGGAGACACGGGTTACAGACGTGAATATAGGAGCCTCGCACTGTGTCTTTAAAGCCCCTCTGATACTTGATTGGGAGTCGTCTGCATGTGCGCAGGAATGACGCAAAATTGACTTCATCTCAAGAACGCGTCACGATGTCATTTCAACATAAGACCGAGAAAAAAAAGGGGGAGAGAAGCGAAAAAACAAAGGCAAGCTGGAGAGAGGAGCTCTGAGAGTAATAATAGGTCAATGAATTTAAAGTAGGTCCCTCTGTCGGGGGTTTATACTGCTTGATGAATGTATTTCTGTCTTCCGGTGGATTCTGTGCTGCCTTTTTTAGACCAGTTTGTGCCAAAATGGGGCAAGACGCACGATATATGTTGTCTAAAACCACCCTGATTTAACACATCAATGGTTTCAGCCTGGTTTGTAGACCGACTGATGAAATAGGAGGACTCATCCCGCATGTCGTGATCCTCTCACTGTCTGCGGGGATGCAGCCTGGTTAACATGCAGCGAACGCAGCCTACACCCCACAAGACATCCTCTCCTTTTCACTGTTGTCACTGCCCATGTGCGCCAAAGTGACTCACACTGCAGTAACTTCCAGCCTCTGTAATCTACCGTATATGCACGAAGTGACACGCAGAGGGAAAAAAAAATATCGGTGACAGGAAAAAAAGAGGCAGCGTACAGGACTTTTAACGAGCTTTTTATGACTGTAATTAAGCACCGCACGTGGATCCAGACGGGTCCGACCTGTCAAAATTTGAGGTTGTAAAGAAATGACATAAAAAAGAGAAAAACTTACCGTCTTTCCCACAGATGTCCTGATGAGATTTCTTCAGTTTACCACTTCATCAAACTAAAACAAAAATCAGTTTTGCTTCTTTCCAATGCGTAAAATGATGATAACTAGATATCAGCAAATTAGTAAATTAAAAAATAACCTTAAAGCGCCTTATATCTGTGTCATAAGTATCTAATCTCGTCCCCTCGCTCTCGCACCTCGGTCTCTCATGAAATTCAGCGGGCTGTCCCGGTGATCTGCTCTTATAGACATCCCGTAGTACTAGTAATGGAGATGGGAGGGGACACTCATTCATTCAGAAGCATCACCTACATGGACGATGTACGTGGACTCTTACGTCATCGAGGAAATTTAGTCAACAGGAGGACGCTCAGGGTTCCGCGAGGGGAGGAAGGAAGGAGAGGGAGGGAGGGAGGAGGCATGACAGGGGGTGAGGGGGTGACGGGGACAAGCTCTGGATTATTATGGGTACAGTAATGCTCCCTCCCCCTCCTCCTATCCTGCTTGGATGTGAGGCACGTTTTGGATGAATTGTCCCCCTGGTTGTTTGTTTTATTGGGGTGTATGAATTTATGTGTCACAGTGAGGTAGAAGAGGAAATCTCACAGGTAGAAGCGGGGTTAAATCGAAATTAGTCATCCAAACCCTCCTGTTGTTGGTTTATTAAACTATTTGTCTTGACTCGTACATATGAGGCTCTGTGCGCCTGTGTGTGTGTGTTTGTGTGACAAGAAGATGATCAGTTATTCACTTCCGTTTTTTGAGCCTGTTATGTAATTTGTGCCCTCCTCTTCTCATCAGAGAATAATTACAAGGATCAAACAGATCTTTGTCATTCCTGGATTATCTCCAGGAGGCACCATGGAGCTGTGGGACTCCACTGATCTGCTCCCTCTTGTCCTTAAAGGGATATTCCAAGACTTCAGCAGCAGAGTTGCGTGGATATGAGACATAATGGTTAGCCTTCGCCCTGTGAGTCAGGCTCCTGAAACTTTGGGACATACATTTCCGACAGTACAGCCGTAAAGCTCTTTGAAAGCTTATTTCATTAGGCCCCCTTTTTTTACACCTTTCATTTCCTTTTGGAGGCTCTTCTTGTCTCTGGTGACGTCATTCCAGTTCCTTTCTCGGTCTGAGAAAAGCTCCTTTGGGGTCCCAGACAGTAAAGTGTTTTTATTGAGAAGGCCAAGTCTCGAGGCAAGGAAGCTGATCATCTCTGCTGCCTTGGATAGTCCAGACAAATGTCCTCCTCTTCTTTCCAGATCTGTGATTCCAAGTTTTTTACAGCCAAGGCATCTGATTGGACAAATGGCATTTAATAAGTGTTGAGACCCAGTTTCCGTTAATTATTTCCTGGCTATTTCACCAATTTTTAGCAGCGTAGGATCCCTGAACAAGCAAAGAAAAAAAAATTGAGAAGAGGTAAAAATGGAGAATCTAGAGCATGATGCTAAAATACATTAGAGCCATCGACCAAATTGAAGAAAACAAACATGAAGCATTTGTAAACCAGAGTTTTGGTCGTGTCATAGGACTGGTTAAGTGAAAAGAAAATACAAACAGGAAAGTTACAAAGCGATCTGTAAAATGGTAAATTGACTTTCTCTCTAGTCTTCTGGCCACTCAAGAACCATTTCTTATTATTACCTGCTGACTAAAAACCATAGACTGTATATACCATGGACAACTTGGTTCCGCCTTCTGCTAGTATATGGATTTGAAGCCAAAAATATCTGCGTTTTTCTCTCCATTTCCTGAAACCAACATTGCGCAGTAGTGTTGTACGCACTCCACCACTTAACCAGAGGCATTGTGCGCATTCCGCGGGAGAGTCACTATGATGACGCTCGGCTCAAACAGTGTATCCCCCGGGTGAGCTACGCAATCATTGTGCGCCATAGGCTGTATCAAGTGTCAATCATAGAAAACTTGAACCCAATAACTTTTTAAAAATGGCGCTGTACAGAAAAAAAAGAGGACTTGAGCACAAACCAGTCTTACAGTAACTGCGTGTCAACATCGCAACTAGGGTGGAGAAAGAATTATATTCTGATATCAATGTCTTAAGATTGTCCACAGCTCCATAGGGATTGCTGGCGGAGGCGGGATTTATGACCTATACTGCAGCCTGTCACCAGAGGGTGCTGTTCTCGGAGTGGCTTCACCCAGCAAGGAGGCAGATGGGGTCTATTCTATATACAGTCTATGGTTGAGACTCAGTTCCCACTAATTATTTTCTGGCTATTTCACCGTTTTTTTAGTAGCGTAGGATCCCTGAATCGAACTGGTTACAAGCAGAGAAAAAAAATTGAGAGGAAGTAAAAAGGCAGAATCTAGAGTGTGATGCTAAAACACATTAGAACCGTCAACCAAATTGGAGAAAACAAACATGAAGCATCCACAAACCAGAATTTTAGTAGTGTCATAGGACTGGTTGAGTAGGGCCTTGTACAGATGCTGGGATTATTTTACGCATCTGTTAAATTGACTTTCTCTCTAGTCTTCTGACCACTCAAGAACCATTTCTTAAAATTACCTGCT